TTTTTTGTTATAGTGAATTAACTTGACTCAATTAGAATGGTCCAAAATTACAAGCCATCCTGTAAGCTTACCTACAGATGAAATGCTGCATGACTTCTGACCAGGGTGCAGAGGGTGCAAGCAGCATCGCCAATATATGGGGTTTTAAACCAAAAGCATCCCCAATCATTTTCTAAATGGTTGCCAGGTAATTTTTAATGAAAACCATTTAAGCCGGCTAATGAAAAGCCATTTACAAGCCACGAACTTATTTACAAGGCCGCATGTATGTATTACCCCAAATAACTAATTTTATCCTAAAAACAGTATGATTGTACAGCAACACTAACATTTGTCTTCACTTCAGTGTCATCTGAACATGTGATAATGCAGTCTGACCACTCTGATGCCACTGCAACTACTTGTTGTTTACGTTTCGCAGTATATTTTGGCAGGAACTCTTGCAACTGATTTCTGGACAAGCTTCACTGCATCCTGATCCATCCAATGTATCAGAAACCTTACTTTTTTCTAAATAGTTGGCAAAAGACTGGTGAATAACTTTGGCCAACAACTGGCAAAGTTGGCCAAAGACTGGCGAATGAAGCCTTGGTGACCTTGTTACACAAGGGAGGCCATTAGAGCAAGAAGGAACTGAAAAATTACAGGCCAATTGCTCTTGCTGACACCTGTAGCAAGATTTTCTGTGCAGTTCTGAATGAGCAAATGCAAATGTGTATGGAGCATGAAAGAGTACTTGGTGAGGAGCAGAGCGGCTTCAGGTGTGACAAGAGAGCAGAACACAACATATTTGTTGTGGATGAATTGATTGAAAGAATGAGGAGAGATGGAAGAAGAGTCTATCTGACGTTTTTAGATATAGAAAAAGCATATGATAGAGTTGACAGAAAGTTATTGTGCCCATTACTGGAAAAAATTGGTATGAGTGAAAAGTACATGAGGATAGTTAGAAGTCTGTATGTAAAACCTTGAGGTAAATACAGGCTTGGAGATGCTGACTGGGTAAAGTGCGTGAGGGGTGTCTGACAAGGATGTATCCTGTCACCTCTTCTCTTCAGCCTGTACACTGAAGAGATAGCTGCTAGACTGAGAAGAATGGAAGTGGGAGTGTGTGTTGGAGATGAAAGACTAAAAATGCTATTGTATGCTGATGATTCAGTAATAATGAGTTTAAATGGGGTTGAACTGCAGAGTATGCTTGACTGTGTAACTGAATATGGCAAGGATTTCAATGTGCGCTTTAGCCCAGAGAAGAGTCAAGTGCTAGTTGTGAATGGAGCAGCTGGTGATGTGGACAGAGTGTGGCAGCTGGGAGGAAATGCGATTGGGAGTACAGATACTTGGGAATGAGTGTTGACCAAAAAGGATGTGAGAGAACTAAAGCGCTGAGTCTTAGTGAAGCAAATCAGTGGTTAGGAATACTAGGCAGTGCAGTAAGTGTGAGAGCAAGTAAATATGATGTTCTCAGAGAAGTATGGAAAAGTGTAGCAGTACCTGGGATTATGTATGGAATGGACGTTATTGCATGGAATGATGGGGAACTGGATAAATTGGAGGCTGTACAGAATAGGATAGCTAGACTGGCCCTTGGAGCCCCAAGATGGACTGCAGTGGAGGCTCTAAGAGGAGGGGGTTGAGTACATCTAGAGAGAGAAGAATGAAAGCAACATTGAGGTATAAAGTACGTCTGGAAAGAATGGATGATGCACGCTGGGCACATAAGGTGTACCTGTGGAACTTGAGAGTGAGCAAATGGGAACGTAAGTGTCATGCAATAGTACAAAAGTGTGGACTACATGAGACACGGGCTCGCCCTGGGAATAATAGACCAAGAGAGGAATGGATGATAACAGTACAGGGTGCAACAGGGATCGAATGGGACGTCAAATAATGGAAGAAGGAAATAGAAAAGAGAGTGAAACTGTGGGGTCTGAGAGCTTGGAAGCAAGTAATGGAAAGAAAGGACAGCCTGAAGTTGTACAGTATGAAAGAGGTGCCAAGGTATGAGTACATATATGATGGAAGTAGAGGTGGAGATCTAATGTTCTGTGTGAGAGCAAATACTTTGAGTGTGAATGCATGGACATACAGGTGGAATGAGAGAAGAGAGGATATTTGTTTCATGTGTGACAGAGATGAGAGGAAAACTGTGGAGCATCTGATGATGTAGTGCAATGCATATGAGTGGGAGAGACTGGAAATGAGAGTGATACTGGATGAGAGAGGTGAGGGTGATGGAGTGGTATATGAGAGAACAGGAGATAAATGGATGGCAATGATAGTGGGCTTGTCAATGGGGGTGACAGCCGCTATGACTGAGAGTGGAAAGCGATTTCTGGAGAGTGCATGGAGAGTGAGGGAGAGGAGGAGGCTGGCAAGAGTGGAGGCCGGGGGACAGTAGAGAGCTGCAGTAATAAAGATAGAATAACCAAACCATAATAATTCAATATAAAACAGATTACCTACTTGAAATGAAACTTGATTTTAAAACATGTGAAGCATGCAGACTGTACTCATTCATTAATAACACTAAAAGGACTCTGAAGTTCTCATCTTCCTCTGTAGATGATGTAGATGTAGAATAAATGACATTTTCTGTGATTTTTACTTGTTTTTCCTTTATTGATATATTACCAAATAGACTCCTGCGTCTCAGAATAATTTTCTTGAAATGAACCGGGACAAACGGGACAAGATGAGAAATTACTGGGACAAAAATAATATGTTAGAGGGTAAAGTTTGTCCTGGAATAAACAAATGAATCAGGACAAGACTTGTGTCCTGGACTTTGAAACTGGTGTCCTGGCAATTATGAAACGATATGGGACGGGTAGAAATGAAACGAATATTTACGTAACGAGACGAGACATACCTTGAATATTCAAGACAGAATGAGACGTTCTGAGCAAGCGGATTAAGGAATAACAAGTTGGCTCCTGATTGTTAATGTGCAGTTGCCAGTCATGTGCAGATGTGGCGACATTTGGCTACCAAACAAATTTGGCAGTTAAATTAGTGGGTAGATTTGGCAATGTACGGCTGAATATTGAGTGAATGATGTCAATGTCTAGCCTTGAATCGCGCTTTATGCGAGAATTGTACGAGTTCAGTATATGTTCCATATGAGTTCAGGCAGTAGGCAGCATCACAAGTTCGTGACACATTGTCTATTAGGAATTCAGACAATTAGAAGACTATGGAATGGTTCTCTTTCCTCTGCTGTGCAAGATACCATGAGTCAAAGACAACATTTGAAAACTTTTTAGGAGCTCAAAGCCAGTGAGACTCATGATGAACGAGGTGTAAGCCAGACCAGCAGCCGATGTAAACTATGTGGCAATATTTACAGGCTAATGATGTGAATGCATCCTCTAGAACTTCTACCACTACAAAATGTCACTGTTACACCTCTTATCTCAATATACCCGAGTACAAATGGAAATGAAACCAGCGCAAGGGCTGTCACTAAAGACCCTGTTGCTGGACCATCTAGTGCTCCAACTGATGGACCCTAATTAGCTGAAACTTAATTAAATTATAGACATTGTCATTGAAGATTTATCTTTACTCTTCATCATGAAAAAAAAAATATATATATAATGTGCAGTACAATACAACATTGCAAATTTTCATTATAATTTATATTTGCCTTGTCAAGTATATATATAAGTGCCATGTTAAATTATGATATATAGCAAAAACAATCTTAATTGCCAAGCCCACAATCAGAATTGTCAATGAATATGTCTCAAGTTATTATGCAAGTCTGTAAAGTAAAAACAAAGTCTACATCCCATCATTAAGTGGTACATCTTGTTATTTCCTGTTATATAAGATAAAATTTCGGGAAATTTTAAGCCTCCTATTTTAACCAGGACGTCTTGTCTCAGTATCATCCCAGAATTCCCATGGAGTGCTGAAAATTGTCCCAGTTATTATTGAAAACTGGGACAAAGCTTCTTGTCTTGTCTTGTCTCGAATGGAAAAATTTTTCAAACGCAGGAGTCTATTACCATATCCATACATTACCGAATTGTTGATATTACCATATCCATTTCCATGGACCTGCCATTGAGCATTGACAATGGCCTTATTAACATGGGGGGTGTCCCTTATTACCCCATCTTGCAGAAATGGCCTCCATTTTTTATGAAATATGCAAATTCTGTTAATCACGTTTTTAAGCTAACACCTGTGTGCAACTTTTATGCAAGTAAAATTTATTGATAGGGTGAATATTTTTTTTGCTACAGCCCTTAGCAGAGGTATGTTTCCAAGATCTCACTTTCACCCTTTTTTTCACGGATTTTTAGAGGTAGTAATGTATGATTTCTTAACTTGCTTCATGCTAGATAGGTATTAAAAATGTTGAACTTTATGCCACCATTTTTAGTTTTGCAATATTTTGATTAGTTTTGCTGCTACAACATTTCTATGAACTGTGGGATAACTGTCCCAATTTACCCCACCTGTCCCTTATTACCCCGTTTGACGGTATTTTTTAGATCCTCCAAAAATGATGTAGGTAATTAGTAGTAGAAGGGTCATTCTAAAATGGTACTGCATTGCATTAAGAGTAACCGTCTTGTCAGTGTCTTGTGTAAGGCAGGACTTGAATCTCTATTGCATTTCAAAATAATGATTCATTGTTATTTTTAATTGCCAGGTTTTCTTCTATGAGATATTGTTCAAAAATTTCTGGCTTGATTAAACATTCCCATGATGTTAAAAAATTATACTAAATTTTTCAGGAATACTAGTTAACTGAAATCATTAAAATCTGAGCTTTGAATGTGACTTGATTTTTGGCTGTGGGGCTCAATGTTAACATAATCAGGGCCAAGTAAGGATGTTGATGCTTGTACTCCCAGACTTCTCTCCTGTGCTCTTTTGGCACTAAGGTGAAGGGCAGTGTTGGGACAAGAGATTTAGAGAAGAGCCAAATCCTATGCTGACTGAGTGGTTTTTCCATCATTCACTATTGGCATTGGCAAATTTTGGCTAAAAAGCATAGGCTTAATTGATGTTCACAAAATGAATGTTAATTGCTAATTATTTATTAATAATTTGGACAGTGGTAGGGTTTGCATGGAAAAATTTAGATTATACATACTCATCTAGGAGGAATAACATTTGTGTGGAGGTGGTGCTGGCTGCATGTGAAGCACTTGGACCTAAAACCATTCATCTAATTGTGGCATTCAAACTTATGAATCCTTGTATAGTTGGATCATTTAATACAGACACTTTCCTGTTACAGGCATACAAAATGTGAAAGTAAATGTCCAGGTTGAATGCTATGAGACTGATTCTGTGAATCATGTGAATAACTGCCTGGAGTTTTCAGCACTCACGCATCACGCCACTTTCTCATCAGTGCATCATCAGCATGGGTATGTTGCTGGATTAGCCCTGTACCTTCTGACACTCTTTTTACATCACTTTTCGATAAAAATAAATGTGATGACACCTACTCTCTCCAGAGACTGAGGGTAAATCAGTCTCTGATGCCAGTAACTCTTCTTACCAACCTTGATTGGGAGAAAATAGATGTCAACCCAGTGAGTGCCGGCAGTGGCTCTAGTTATTAGGCATTCAGATTAAAATAACATTGGATACTTTAACACCAGGTTCAAAGGATGGAGTGATGTAAATTTTTATTTTTGTATGAGGCTAATGCACCCAAACTCAGATACATTTGTGGTTGATATATACTATCATGTTTTGATAGATTTCATGCAGTTCAGAAAACTGGAGAGTTTCATTGATTTTTATGAATGCTGTGTATGTTTGCTGCTATTCAATTCTTCTGCAACTCATTTTTTGTGCACTTACTTGATCAGTTTTTGTGTACTATGTCTTATTATGTTCTCTAAATTATACTATGGATGTTAACTTTTCAATTCAAGTGTTGTATATTTTAAAGCTTGTAATTTTGCAATGTTCTTACTGGATCACAGTTGTCATAATTGGTATTGAGGAAGTCAAGTATTTTTAAATAGGTTATTTAGAGCAAAACTAAGCCTTTAATATCTGCTTTTTAACACGTTTTTCTTAGCTTAGCTTCGCGTTTGTTTGTTTGTTTATTTGTTTGTTTGTTGTTAACATTGACAACGAAAATTAGCCCACTTCTGATTGCTCTAGAAATCTGAAATTCGGCATGCAGGCTATTTTCGCCTAACAATTTCAGATTCAATCATAAAAACTGGCAATTAGAGACCTAAATTAGCTTAATTGAGTAAAGTATATATAAATAGTATATATATAGTATGACGTGCGGGCGCTGACGTTATAGACTACGTTTTTCTTAGCTTAGCTTCGCGTTTGTTTGTTTGTTGTTAAAATTGACAACAAAAATTAGCCCACTTCTGATTGCTCTAGAGATCTGAAATTCGGCATGCAGGCTATTTTCGCCTAACAATTTCAGATAAAATCATAAAAACTTGCAATTAGAGACCTAAATTAGCTTAATCGAGTAAAGTATATATATATAGTATATATATAGTATGGCGTGCGGGCGCTGACGTTATAGACAAGCAGGCGCTTACGCTGCGTATCATCGATACGTACGTCAAGTCATGCTTTTTAGTCCGTGCAGCAACGGACTAAAAAGGAGAAAATAAAATACTTAAAAATTATTTTTTAAAAACACGTTTTTCTTTTGGACTAAAAAGTAGAAAATAAATTATGGCTCGCCCCAAAAACGTGGCTTGGGCTCTACATTCACCATTAAATTTCCAAAATTCGTGTGTTGTGTGCTTTTCGCTTTAATCATAAATCTGCCCGACACGTTTTTTGGGGCGAGCCATAATTTATTTTCTACTTTTTAGTCCAAAAGAAAAACGTGTTTTTTAAAAAAGAATTTTTAAGTATTTTATTCTTGACTAACTTTGCCTCGTCTCTGTGCAGAGCACTGCCGTGGAGATGCTCTCTGTGGTACTTCCTTGGGCTCTCTCTGCCTTCATCTTGCCTCCCCTGGACAATGAGACTAGCGTGATTGGCTTCAACAAGCCCGGTGAGCTTTGGCTGGTAGGACCTGGTCAGTTGAGCTCAATCAATGTCTGACCCTAAGCTTGAAATATGTTACTGGGGTGAGCTGATGTCAGGTGTGCTGCTGTCAGGTGTGCTGCTGTCAGGGGTGCTGCTGTCAGGCGTGCTGCTGTCAGGTGAGCTGATGTCAGGTGTGCTGCTGTCAGGTGTGCTGCTGTCAGGGGTGCTGCTGTCAGGCGTGCTGCTGTCAGGTGAGCTGATGTCAGGTGAGCTGATGTCAGGTGTTCTGCTGTCAGGTGTGCTGCTGTCAGGCGTGCTGCTGTCAGGCGTGCTGCTGTCAGGCGTGCTGCTGTCAGGTGTGCTGCTGTCAGGTGTGCTGCTGTCAGGTGTGCTGATGTCAGGTGTGCTGATGTCAGGTGTGCTGCTGTCAGGCGTGCTGCTGGATCGGTTGCTACACTCAAAATAATCAATTAGATTTTGTACAAATAGCGATGGATTTCTTGTCCTTGTGTGATCCACACTTGCCTAGTTTGAGTCTATCAGTGCTACGTCCCATTTCTGCTCGTACTCCAGGTAAGAAAGTGAGTTTCTATTTGGACACTTTAACCCATTCGTTTTTTCTAAGAGTAGAGCTGACACTTTTCCTGCATTGAAATCAATGAAGCAGTTTGAAAGAGAATCTCTAGTGGAAACGAATGGAGGAAGAGAGGTGAAGCAGACAAAGTAATAATAGAAGTCGTCTGGTGTGATGAAAAGTATTGTAGTGAAGAAGTCGGGAGGAATGTAACAGATTATGCCAGTGACAGAAGCAGAAGCATCTTAGATGAAGTTAAGAGTAGTTAAGAAGTTAGTAGAGAGAAAGTAGGACCGGCATTGAAGTTTCATGGATTATTTGTTATACTGGATCAATCACATGTTGGTTGAAGCAAAATGTCATTAATGTAGATATTGTTCAAAGCTGCAATGATTAAAGTTGTGGTTTCTGCCCGATTCAAATAACTTTGGTAACATTTTAGGGGTAAAATTAACAACTGCAATACAATAGTTTTATATTTCATCTAATTTATGTACAAAATTTAGTAGAGCCTTGATGCTTTTCTAAAATTTTTCTTAGCTTAATTATGGAATATATGGTAGATTTTGTTAGCATGTTCGACATTTTTACGATATCAAGAATTTGTTCTTTCCTCATGAATAGGTCAGTATTTTTTACAAATTTTCATATTCAATTCGTAACTATCTATTGAAATCATTTATCTTGAAGCATTTTATGCCAATGATTGTATTAGTTATCTTGTTATTGGTCATAGAAATTTTAATATGCATTGATTCTACATGAAAGGTTTTGTTTTTAATCGTTCCACCAGCCCGACCATGAAATAAGCGTTGGCCAGACCGCGGGTGAAGGGGAGCTGGCTCTGCTTCACCCCACCCTGGCTCTACTCCAGCCCGGGGTGAAGAGGCTGGCTCTGCTCCAAGGGAGCCCGGGGTGAAAAAGCTGGCTCTGCTCCATGTCAATTAGGGGGGAAGAGGCTGGCTCTGCTCCAGGGCAGCCCGGGGGTGAAAGGGCGCTTCCTCTTCTCCACGGCAGCCCAGGAGTGTAGGGGCGCTGGCTCTGCTCCATGGCAGCCAAGAAGTGAAGGGGCTGGCTCTGCTCCACGGCAGCCAAGGAGCGAAGGGGCTGGCTCTGCTCCACGGCAGCAAAGGAGTGAAGGGGCTGGCTCTGCTCCACGGCAGCCAAGGAATGAAGGGGCGCTGGCTCTGCTCCACGGCAGCCAAGGAGTGAAGGGGTTGGCTCTACTCCACGGCAGTTAAGGAGTGAAGGGACGCTGGCCCTTGTTCGCACAGCTCGATATTTCCATGGGCCAAGGAGAAAATTAAAGGCTAGGCAGCACGTCGAGTTGGAGTGGAAGGGGCAGTAAGATGATCAGAGCTTGTGTAGCCAAGCTAAAAATATTCCAGATGGAAAATTAAAGGAAAAGTAAATTGAAAATTAATACATTGTATTAATACCCTTGTTATTGGTGCGTTATGACTTATTTTAGTCGAGTTAATGCGACAGATGCAAGCAGGTAGTGTTATTTTGGCCATAGATGTTGAGAACTATTCACAGTTTCGGAAGAGTTGGAAGCTTTGTATAGATAGTCGTAACCAGTTATCCACTTGACGATGTTAAGCATAGAGCCTTCATGACCAGAAAAAATTGTCCTTAAGTTCAGATGCTATGAACGTTTGTGTTCACATTACATCACTTGAACATAAGGCCTGCACGTCATCCGCTGCGGAGGCAATTTCATCGCTCATTTATCATTGTGTTAACTGTTAACCAAGTACATGCTAATTATACTTCAACCTGCGCACATATTTTAATCCGCCATGTGTAGAGATTTGTTTGGTTGCAAAATGATTACCATTTTTTCATTTGTCATACGAGGGTGCTTATGACAGAAAATTATTCGACATTAACAATGTTGATCCCTACGAAGTGCCGGCAAAGCAGTGGTGTGCCGACTTTGCAATCCTGCCTCCCGTTTCACATGGTGATTTACTGAACTATTTTGCGTTTGGTTTCAGCCAATACAGCTTGCAAGAATTCAAGGCATACAAGACGCGTGACGAGTAATTTGTAGATGAATGGGTGCAGGAGATATACACCCACACACCAGCCAACTGCAACAACACTGTCATTGCTGCCAAGGTGAGGACAATGGATCATGAGAATTAATGACAATGTAATATGGTGTGCAAATATTTTTACTTATGTAGCTTGTCTACTGGCAAGTAAGAGATTTTGCCTCAGGAAAATATATAGTATCGTATATCACAAATATTACAGTAACGGGCATAACTTTCTGCTTTCTGTTGATGCACTCAGTGTGGTTGAATGAAAAGCTGTTGAAACCTTGGGTCATTGCTGATGCTGATGGCAGGCACCAGCATATCAGCTCACTACGACTGTGTGGCAGGGGTAGGGGAGACTTGTACACATGTTGGAGCGGTATTATTCAAAGTCGATGCCATTGTAAGATGCAGAGAGAAAACAACAGTCACAGGTCACTTGTCGACGTCTTGTAGTAACGCCGAGAACTTCGCTGCCTTGGCCTTCCTTCACGGCTGGTAAACTGAAGAAACGCATTCCATTGTTCAGTTTTCTGTTTAAATAGTCGTGAGAATGACTGGTACATCCAACAACGGCGCAGTAGCGTACCATCTTCAAGCAAAAACTTCAAAAAGAGATAAGTGCAGTAGATTGAACACGTATGCGAAAGTTAGACCATGCAACAAATATGGCGGCCGATCCCACAATGCATTTCGCGACGTCATCCTTGCGAGCCCGAAATAACCATTCCACACTCGGCAATAGCATTAAGCATTCGCTAATAGTGCTTAAAGCAGCAATTACAGCGCACAGTTTATGAGGTTTAACGCTTATATCTCATAAAATATTCAACCCAGACAGTGCGGTGTGATGAAATAAGGTGAATCAATGCACTTATTTCATGTATATCACCACTCCACACTCAAAAATAACATTCGTGCAGAAGCCTGTCAAATATCTTTGTCAGAAGTATTTTTTATTAACCATAGTGTTCCCTGTATTATGACGAATCTGTCGTTATTACTTTCACTAGCTGTTTCAATGTGTATTGAATTTCTTTGCGACGTTTGAGGTCACAAAAGAAATCTCTGCTATAAAAAGGGCAAAATTGCGATGCATCTTAATAGTAAACCTCACTATGATGATGTCAAACTTTTTAATTTATAAACGTTTATATGCTAAAAAAATTACTGTATAGTATGGTTGAAAGCTGGAACAAGTCGTTTAAGAAAGGGCTGTAATTTTTTCAACTGATTGCATCACTGTAGCATGTCCCACGTTTAACTCAGCCTGCTTCAAATGCAAAAAAAAGTATCAAGCTACGAAATTGATGTGGTAGTTACATGGAATATGGCGGCAGATATACACCATTACACTGTGACTGTCACACACCGGCTTCCAGAATGATCACCAGCGTCATCAGCGTGATCAACAGCGTTGAGATATTAAAATGGACAAAGCGTGGGGCGATCCATCATGCGGAAGAGAAGGCGGCAGGAGAAACGGAAGGGAGCACTCATTGCATCCAATCATCACGCTCACGCTACGATGCATCATCAACGCATAGTTGATTATCAGCGCATCTTTTTACTTTATTCTTCTTCTCCGGACGCAATTCAGTGCAGAATTTTAGACTCTTTTAAAATAAAAATCAACTTCTTATTTTACTAACATTTCATTTTGATATTAGGTTCAATTTGAGATTTTTGCTCATCGTTGATTTGCTCTGTAATGAAATTTCATGTACAAGATTAAAAATGGCTAATCCCAATGAGCTATTATTTGCCGAGCCTGCTGTTTCCGGATTATGGCCTTGATTCTCATGCTCCCGCCCTGTGCAGTAAAATTAAGGCTATAAAAACGGTCTCATTTAGTGTAAAGCAGTAAATCAGAAATTGTAGTTTATTCGAAAGAAATAATAAACTAATGGCGAGCCACGTCATCTTATCAGTCCATTGTCAGATTATCACTTGAGCGTCAAGTTGATCATTTATCCCTTACGCTGATCGTGTGGTCAAGTTAATAATTTATCACGTTCATGATCGTGTGGTCAAATTGATCAGTTACAACGTACCCTGATCGTGTCGTCAAGTTAATAATTTACCACGTTCCCTGATCGTGTGGTCAAGTTAATAGTTTATCACGTTCCCTGATCGTGTCGTCAAGTTAATAATTTATCACGTACCCTGATCGTGTGGTCAAGTTTATAATTTATCACGTTCCCTGATCGTGTCGTCAAGTTAATAATTTATCACGTACCATGATCGTGTGGTCAAATTGATCATTTATCACAAACCCTGATCGCGTGGGGCCTAAATAGACGTAACCACGATTACGTTTCCTAAATGCATTTAGCGACCGTGATAATGTCTGTAATTGGTATGTTTATCTTGAAAAGCCGTTACACTTCTATTGTTCTATACATCAAGACCATTGCGAAGTTCATTGAGGAATTAGAAAATTATTATTCGTAATAAACCTTGAATTAATTCAACGTAGTCGAATTACTTGCTAGGTGGGTTCGTAGTGTGTCAAAATAATGAATTTTAATATTTTTGAATGAATTATATCTTTTACTGCATCCTGGCGGCCCCGTTTAGAAGATCCATGAACACAACGCCTTTGCCCTTATCAGGCTTACAAATGACCAGGGCCTATACTTTCAAAAAAAGTTAAGAGATCGTAAGTTCATCAGCCAATCATTGACGGCCTTTCAAGCAAAATCCACCAATCATAAACAAGAAAATAAAGCGTAAGTACTTACGTTCACTTAGCGAGTTTTGAAAGTATGGCCCTGGATTGTCATTCCACCATCGTAAATCTGCATTCAATGCGTAGCCACGAGTAAACGTAAGTGAATGCTTCGCCTTTAAGAAAAAATTAAATGTACATTTCGCACTAAGCCTTGCCACATTGACAAGATGTGTAAATCATCTAAGAAATATAAAGAGAAAAATTATATTCTGAGAAAGACTCTGCATGGTGTTACAGAGGAAGTCAATCACGCACACTACGCAGCTATTTGTCCCGTTATCAGAAACTTCAATGCCGACAACGTCTACTCTAAATCGACACTTTGCTACGACGAAACGTCGCAACCTGCCAGCAGCATTCCAGTGGCAAACGCAAGCCACAGCGCGATGCATGCCGCCAATTGTTTGTGTAAATTTCTTTTTTAGACCAAAATCGCTATTATTTCCCATCAATGAGAAGCCGATTCCAGCGATCAGGAAGAACGGATGAAGCACTAGCGTTCGTGGATTCGAATGATCTTCAGATCGGGACCTTGAATTGCTGCTTAGTTCTGTGATTGAGGCCCAATTTAAATATTACGTATAAACGTTTAATTTAAATATCACGGGTAAACATTTAATTTAAATATTACGGAAAAATAGTGAGGCCCTATTAGAAAGAAGCCTGCGTTTCTCATATCAACGTTGATCAGCATCTGCTCTTGTTTCCCTGGGATTGAGTTAAATGTTAATAGTTGAATAATTAAAGATAGTTGTTATCATCGGTCCGCGTGAATAAAACCACAGTTCATCAAATATTTTTTTATGAATATGACATGACAGGGCCTAACGATGGATATGGACATCCACAACGATGTGATGAAGATAAGCTTGCACGTCAGGCGAGACAGTTTGCAGAATACGAACTGGGGTTTATCCCACAATGTACAGCAGTGGTATTAATTGTTGGTTCTATCTTGCAATTGGTAGCTACAGCAGGGTCTATCTCACAATGTAGAGCAGGGCAGTTGTTTGGTAGGCGTGTCGGTTTAGGGCCACGTGACCTTTGAATGAATACGTAGAGCTAGAATGACAGTCGTTTATTATACAAACTATATAAATCAAACTTGAGATTATATGTTTGGTTGGGTGAGTTTATAACAACTTTTATGTCGGCATTACGCCATAATTGTTTCCACAAAGGCCATTTATGTAGAAGCGCGTTGCATACATAAATAGCATGATTAGAGGCCTCATCCTGTGTTTTGTCACTCCCAGTTCCAGAGGAAGTTGAAGTGTATATCTCTGTTTATTATTGATTTTTCCTTTTTTTCTAGTCTCAGTGATTTCTCGACACGTACCAGGCCACTATAGGAGTAAAACATGAGGTAATATGTATATTTCTCATAGCATTTACTGTGTAATCCAATTCCCTAAAATAATCACACTGCTCTCAAACACAACTTACGTGAAGCACGTTGACTAACTGAAAGCTGGTGCTATGAACGCTATCTTTTAATAAACTAATCACCACTTGGCAATAGGAATAGGCGCTCGTTAAAGTTTAAAAGATTCAAAAGATGCTGCGCCCCAGTTGATACAAATATTTCTCATGATTTATGTACAAAGAAGGTCGCAGTCACTGCATCTAGCAGCAATTTGTCTTCCCGAGCCAACGAAAATGCAAGTTTATGTACTTTAGCCACATCTTCAAACTCGCAATCCTTTCTTCTATTCTACTAGATCGCCAGAAAGAACCACATTTAGTTAGCGCCTAGCGTGAAGTAGCCATATTATCAACGGCCGCCACAATTCCATAAACCAGTTGGAACTTCAACATATTCGATAATTTATCAGCATCGAGGAGATTGGATTTTCACAACTATATGACAGTACGTCGTACGTCGAATCAACGGTATTGCAGTCTCCACCCAGAAGTTCCCTAAAATGACACTATTATACATTAGGCTAATTAACCCTCTACCGCCTGACATGAGTAACCGCAGCAATGCTGCCACAAGCCTACTTCCCAAAAAGGATACGTTCTAGTGAGCGCAAAATGACTTGCACTGATGGTTGCCGCCACGTACGACAACTTTAAAATGTTCTCTGTTGCGTACAAACGTCCTCAGGTTGCTACACTCAATAGTTTACGTATAAATTGCCGCCACGTACGACAACTTTAAAATGTTCTCTGTTGCGTACAAACGTCCTCAGGTTGCTACACTCAATAGTTTATGTATAATTGTATCATTTGTATGTACCCAGAGAGTGACATACGGCGGTAGAGGGTTAATTCGTTTATTACTGCTTACGCCATCAGCGCCAAGTACTAAAAACTACCTTACTCTGTTAGCATCTCGTAAGATCCACCTTCGGTGTATGTGCACCAAGTTCAAAGAACTTTTGGTTTTTATAGGGATTTGGTGCACAAGATGCACCGCAGTGCATGGTTTCAGAATTTTATCGATGATTTTCTACATACTTATGAGATTGCATTAGCGCACAGCATTCCTGTTTATTGCTAAGCTGGGAGGCTAGGAGCAATTCCTGGTTGAACTGGGTAGACGCTTTTCGTTAGTAACGATTGCTTTAGCATTTCAATGCAAACAGGCTTACAATGTCCTTATCCAACTCTAAAACTCCGCCCTTATTTACAGGGAATTTCGGCTGTCAATGGCGTGAAAAGCTAGTTCCGAAAACAAAAACAAATTTGTCCTGTCATGAGGGTGTTAAGAAAATGCTAAGGTATTTATGATTGTTTTCTGCTTCATTGTTATAACTTTTTATTGCTCGACGCTTGATTTTACGAGTATTAGTCAGGTTGCGTCCGTGGCGTCTTATACACTTTTCTGGGAGTATTCGAGCACAAGTTCTCGTATGAATAGACTACTGAAAAAAATGGTACAAAGAGAGGATTGCAATGAAACACTGGTACAATGCATCTTAAACTGGAAATCAAGTGCGCATCCTACGTTAACAAAATCACTGGTATACAGAAAAATGGTAATCCGAACACAATTAAAGTTGAAAATCTATCCCTTTTCATCACCCAAACTTCCCACTTGATAAGAAATGTTGATCCGTTGTACAGTTCCGTATAGTGGTACGACTGTCGTAAACAACCGTATTTTATACGAGCTTTCGCGGCAATATTGTTTACAGCAGTGGATCCCTAAGACCAAAGTCGCCCCACACATTATGTTACGCTAGTCTTGTGGCAAGTCATTTCCTGTCCACAATTGCTTAGCGTCGTTCAGTCTCCTCTCAACTTCTGCATACAAGATATGTTCAACATAACAATATAAAATAAAGTCAGAGTTCCCTACGCTTCATTCAGGTGAGGCTCTCATGGACACAGGATGTTAGATTTCAATGTATGACGGGTCGTTTGAGCTATGAATAAAGTTCCTTTCGTGAGGTAATATAATCATGTAAATCAGAACTTCTATTCATAATGTAAAACTTAACTTAAATACGTTTTTCACACCGTGCACATATATGAATTAGGTGCCTATATAAATAGATATGTGGGTTTCAAATCTAACTTTCTATCCTTATCATTACTGCCGTATGACTTAATTGTTAAGAAGAGGCCTGACAGTTAAGTATTAAAACAGCTAGACAGCACAAACCATGTTGGAAACCCAGTTCTGCTAAGTAGACATTTATAAATTATGCAAGAGCGCCTCTGGAGCGTTCGATGAATCTTGAAAATGACTAAGCCAAAATGTTTCCTGTCAAGATTTAAAAATAACTGAGTTTTTTTTTATATTTCTCTTTCAAAAAAGTATATCTTCATCGAGATGCATGATATAAAGAGCCTCCACATGATAAAAATGAGAATTTAAATGAGAAACTGAAAATATAACTACAATTAAAATTAAGACGGTGCAACGAACACAGAGAAACTCACGACCAGGAGCAAGACCATGGGCATATGAGATCGTGTAATTGAACTTATATTACGGTGATCCAGAACTTTACATGCTATACTCAATTGCTCAATTCAAGACATCAAATCCTCGAGTGAATTCAGCCGTATGATAAAGTTCACTTAATTCTAATCTCGGGTAAATCTAACTATCGATTGATACTGTAGATGATCTGAAAACTCCCGAAACTAAACGTTTGTAATATGCTATGGTCCGCACTACCAAGTAGAATGGCGCAATATAATAGAATTTGTTAAACTGGTGATCGCAATCAACCTATCACATAGGTTATGTGTAGGGTATTTTTTGCGACAAGAAAAAAAATAAGAATGTTTATGACACGATAAACTGAATTGATTTCGTTATATGTATTAGTATCGATACTTTACTACCAAAACGGTCTTCGAAAATGAAATCAAGTTGGAACAGAATTATGTAAGAATTCGCACTCGTCATCACAACAAATCAAGAACTCAACTTGCAGGGTTCGCATCACCACTTACCAGGAGACAAATCAGAAACAAACACTTGGAGTTTAAATGAATGCTGCCATCTTGTAACCTTTTCCTGAAATACCATTTTTGTGATCGAGTTTGAAATGGAGTCGAAATTTAGTCAGAGCTCATAAACCGAGTGTTCACTGGGGTCCTTTATTTGAGTGCACCTGCCGTGAGGCATGGGTTATCATGCGCACCCTCCGTCCCTCTTTCGATCAGCCATTTATTTTTTTGATTCTGAAAAAATATAAGTTAAGAGTTAAAGTGCTGTTGGACAAATTGTTGAAGGATGGCATGGGAAATCGAATCTTGGATTGAAATATCATAAAATAATTTTATATGAGCTGCGTCACGCAATTCTTGACATAGTTTCTGTGTTCTCACACATTAATATAGTTTTGACAATTTTGAAGGAAAATCCTGACAGTTCATGCGTTTTGAAATAAAGAAAGTCGCTATTTTGAAAAAAATTTCTTTCATGTTTGGTAACGCAATTTCAAGTAAGAAAATGATCAAACGTTGTATTAGTTCTAAACTAAATTCAGAGTGCGATATGCACACATATGCAGATGTTTAACCAGGTATAGAAGGTGTGTCTTCATGTCCGATTTTTATAGTGATGGATAAACAATAGCATTGACAGATTGAAAATTAAGTAAAAGCTATTTGCTTTGACGATAAGAAAAAGTCAAACGTAAATGTCAAGAGCTAATAAATTACAGACATTGTGGGGATTCCTTGGATAACCGATTCACGAGCTCTGGAAACAGAACAGATACTATAGATTTAATGCTTTAGACATACGAAAGAACCTGCTTTGAATTGTATTTTAAAAACTTGGGGTTTGATTAGTGTCCAAATTAAGATAAAGAATACTATTCAAACCCTTGCGTTAAATTGACCGTTAATGCATGTCCAATGTTTCTCTGTCATCGAGTACAGTACCTAAACGCGTTCACTTCAGACGTTATAGGTTGCCGGCACAACTCGGAACCATGAACTATATATAGGCAAGGTCATATTTCTCACTATGTTGTAATCAACTTACGCACAAAAAATGTTAAAATATTGCATCAAATGCCGCTCTCGTAGATGCCTCAAATTGTCAGAGAAACTTAAACCACTTACTCGATGGTTATATGTGCTTCTCTGTGGTATTTCAATACCAAACATAAAGGTATCGTGCTGTTAGCCAGATGTGGCTGTTGTAGTCGTGTTTTCCAATGATCAATGCAGCTAATGTTTCTAACGCTGAGAAAGAAACCATGAGGTATTCCAGTAGTGATATCAGATATCTCACCTGTGTCCTGCTGACTTGGCATCATTTACGGAACTCCAGTTCTAATTTCCTTTTCATCTCAGAGATGGCAGGTAATTGATCCAGCTTAATCATTTTTTCACCATTGTTGCAAGGGTAGAGCGTGTAGAAGAGAGTCATTTTCTCGTCTATAACGCGCTTCTTTTCCTGTAGGATGAACATGGGTTTAGTACGACACATTTACTATCTCAGGGTAATTAGTCGAGATTTTAAAATTTACATTAATAGCAAATTTAAATTGAGGAAATACCAATAAATGTATATTAAAAAGTTTGTCAGAATGTCTGAAAAGTTTGAGACTTGAACCTCATCAAAAGTTTGGTCCACAAGCGCATCAGCAAGAAACAAATTACCTACACTATTTTTCGTGCCTGTCAGCAAGTTGAAAGGAAGGATATAATGCGACTAGGTCATATTACCAGAATGCAAAATGAATGGAAATAAATTACCATGCGTTGACATCTTTTAAATGATACGAATTGAAAAGATCGTTATATAGCCGACAATTACGTTTCTCGAGTTCTATACTAGATTTGCTGATGATATTCGTGTATTATTGCGCAGGCCAATGGCGAGCGTCGTGAGAATTGACACAAAAATGGTGGTCAATATTGGTGCCACTAGAAGTAATTAAGATTAAAGTTAGTGCAGATCCATGACCCACAACGAGCAATACATGAAAACAATACTAGGGTTGTGCCAACCCTTGGAACTAGGGTTGTGCTAAATTCCATGTTAGATCGGGGGGTAATATACGCTTACGAATGTTCTAATAAATCATTTTAATAGCTTTCTCCGACAAGGCTGAGATGGCATGGTTTTCAATTCAGTCTCAACCGAAAAACGTTAATAGTTTTCTAACGGGGAAATGCTTTTGGGATTTAAAATTCTATTGATAATTGATGATGTCAAAATGGATCGAGACGATTTTTTCATGAAAAAAATAACAAAGCTCGCATCAACATCTTAGGCTGTCATGCGTTCCCATTTCTAGGCAACTTGGCATGAAATCAAACTGGCAGCAGAAATAGGATTAACTAGAATGTTGGAGCGGACAGGAGGGACTCCCTGGGCGTTGACAGGTTCTGGGGTAAAAACACTCGCATCTTTCTTGATGGTCGCCTCGAGTTCGGTGAGCGCCTCCTTTGCCTTCTGGATTTGGTTCTTGCTGAGCCTTCCAAGGGGCATATCGCATGGGTCTGGAGGAACAAGATGCACTTACACATCAACATGTCATCCGAATAAAATGCCTATCCGAAACTCTGTAATATTCTACAATAAATAATTTACGGGTATTTTATTAGCCATCTCATAGAGCACCTCAACAAGCACAAATAATTCTAGAATCAATTTGAAAAGCACAGAAAAAAATAATCTCACGGTTATCGACCACATGAATAACTCAAACTTCCTTTCAGATGGCGTCATTAAAGTGAAATTATAATGAAAGGCCACGCGAGCATGGAGAAGACAATCCCCGGCCCCGACACGCCATGTGGGTATTGGCCCTTCAAACCGGCGTTGTTGCAATAATCATAATGCATACAAATAAATAGAACTTTTTTAGAAAGTAGTAAGATGTAGAATTACTTTCATGACAAGAAAAAACAAATGAAATATTACTTTAACACTGTTCAATTAATTACTAGACCAGATCGCCTCCTGAAACATGCCTGACACATATTAAACATGAAATTTGCATTGCATGTTAGCACTCACCCATTTCAAGCATTGTGAAGCCCTTTGTAGGCTTTCGAACAAATTCGCTTCGGTTTATCCATTCATTTCCTGTTTTTTCTTCGAACAGCTTACAAAACTTTTTGTCCGCCTCAGCCTCTGATCCAAATGTAGATGTAACTTTCTTTTCTTCAATACAACCCTTGAAAATAGTTGGCTTTAATATTTCGTTTAGATATGCAAGTGCAAGTTAATGAAGTATGATTAGTCATCTTTTACTGATATCATCGAAGCCGTCAAATAATTCTTTAAATTATATAGTCAATCTTATATCAAGAGAACTGCAAAATATACATAAATTTTCCGCGGATTTGAAAATCAAATGTTACCTTTTTAATACAAAGATCAAGCCTCGAATAAAACAGGAACATACTCAAATTGAAGTTACGAAGAAGGGGAAGCTTAACATGTCGGATGTTTGAGGAAGCAGCTCATGCAATCTCAAATGATTGTTTACATAAGAACTAAATAAGCTAACATGTATTATATAGAAATGACTAACCACTTGCCCCGATCGGGAGCACACATGATACTTTTCGCCGTCCTTGGTCATTTGTATCACAAAATATTTATTCTCGTTTTTCGCAATGTCAGCAAAGGTGAGTGTGCAGGAATAGTCCTTATATACTTCTCCTCCGTATGGCAACTTGAGGTGTTCAGCAAATGAACGATCTAATGGGATCGGCTTCGGCTTGTCAACTCGAGGCCTCTGTGCTGCTACCCTGAAATGCATCAGTGATAATAATTAATTTCAAACGTAATCAGAAGTTTTGAGGTTACACAAACAACAGTTAGTGATATTAAAATATTACATAATGCACGGAATATCACATTCCATCTAATTAGCACACATTAAGTCAAACAAAATTCAAATATGTATTTAGGCAATTTCATTTATGAAACCAACATATAAATTGTAAATTTTGGTCTCACCCAGGATTATCTTCAGCTTCGTTTTTCCTTTTAGGTGGCATGACTACAATCTTGATTGCAGTAGATATGATGACTTAACGACTATAATGACGTAACGAATACCTACTTAATTGGCCGTAGGTATTTATAACGGTATAACGCAGGTATAACGGCAGGGAGAATAATGATTAATTAAAAAATAAATTAAAATAATAGCAATAGTAGTGTTAGCGTTCATCAAGCAAAATATGGCCAATACTTCTCCCAATAGCGGTACTCTGAAATTTAACCTCTCGGCCAATATTTTTTATTCGGCCAGTATAGACGTATATAGAAAAAAGTTGTGCCAAAACTTGCTTTCTTTTATTTTTAATCGTTAAGCTACTGATAAGTCTCAGTCAAAAGCATCGTATGAATATAAATATATAAACAACTATCCAAAATGAACCTCATTGACAGGGAATTGCACAATTGATCACTCGAGGATATGATTTGTCTGTAGCATTCTACTACAATCCACATACTTATCTCCTAGAAGTAGAAATATCATTGATGATATTGACTACTTAAAATAAAGTAATTTGTCGAATCATGTCAGATTTTTAGGAGACAAAATACTACCACAAGCCATGTCTTTTACAGCATGGGCCGCATGTTTTGTGATCGAGCGAGCGGTAACCTAATATTTTTGCAGCGTTGGAGAGCGCAGCTAACAGAGGGCCGCTCTTTTTATGAAAAATAACACACATAGCATCAGTTTAATGTTACTTTTCTGTAACGATTGTGCCCAGAATTTGACTTCCAACGCCGAACGTCTGCAGGTTCCAATTCACGAAAACACCGAGGCGGGATAATAACGAAACTCAGATCCCTCGTCACTTGGTCGAATTTATCATCAACGTTGATAAGAACTGCTGATTATCATTAATAGAATGTAAAAGTTTATTATTCAACTTTTATATTAACTTCACAATACTCAGGGCTACTGCGTTTAAAAAAAGTTTTCTAACTAAAATCTATCAAATTTTGTTCGCGGTCAGTAAAACTTTCAGGTGCTAACCGCCACTAATTATCATGTTACTGGCCTCGTGTAAAGAATTATTAGGACCTTCCGTGGCCAGCAGCGCTCATACAATAGGCCGATAGGACGGTAAATAGTGGCAGTTAGTATTTTTCCAAGTTCATTGGACGCCACTAGTGTCCCCGTGTATAAGCACCAGTTTACACTACCAACTTGCTGTCTCTTGAGAAATTATAACTTTGCAAAATTTTTACGACTAAAACTTTCAAAATAATTTATTTTATTCATTCATAGCTGTAGGCATCCATCGCAAAGGCAGTTAATTGGAATAGGAACCCTAAAATGTAGTCTTTATACACTTTACTATAGACTATATAAGAATGCATTACCTTCCAGCAGAACTTCTTCAGAATTTTTAAATCTCAACTGAGAGTTGCGCCGTCAATTATTTCTAATTTACTGACCAACATTCGTGCTGTAAAGTTGTATAATTTATTTTTAGTTTCATCAACAAATTAAACGGCTTAATTATTTGAAATTTACTTATCATTAATGATCGGCACTGGATATGCTATGCACAGACACGTTACAGTGATGCACTCAGTTGAAATCTTCTGTAGAAGCTTCGGCTGCTGCATTTCCAGCGTCTCTGATCCCATCGTCATCTCGAGACCTAATGACTAACTATACTTATCTCAAGTGCATCACTGTAACTCATCTCGAGTGCATCACTGTAACTCATCTCGAGTGCATCACTGTAACTCATCTCGAGTGCATCACTGTTACGGATCTCGAGTGCACCACTTTAACGGATCTCTAGCACAATCCTCAGCGTGCTACAACCGAAAACAAATAACTATAAAATTCTAAAGATTATTCCGTTAAATTCGACCATCACTTCACTGCGACCATCACAGACCGCAATCAGCGCTGACGTGCTGGGATGTAAACATGGCAAGCATGACTCAAAGTCTGTCGTGATGGGGAAGGTCTCCTCACATATGGAACCGAGAGCGGAAATGAGCGCTCAGTGCCGTCATTTGCACCATATAACTGTCGCCACGCACGCGAGCGCTTAATTGGACGCTGCATTTACATCAACTTGACTGCTTCGAATATATTCGAGTGCTGGATCATGTTCATTTTTAAATCTTAACTAAATAAATTTGAGCCATTCTACCCTCTTCTCTGTGAATTAAGTTGAATTTCACTTATTATTGTTCGGCGTCAAACTGTACAATGATCAAATCAAATTTTTTAACATTTCTTCTCGCTTCGAATCATCGACATGTGGAACTAACTCTTATACCCGTCTCCTCAGCTTGCATCGATGGCGCTCCGATTTCAAAGAACAGATTAGATGAAGCTATGCTGGAGTATAGATTTCGACTGGAAGCGCCTAACATCTCACAAATTGCTGGATGTTCAGCAGCTACTTAGCTTCAATGTCAGTTTTGTATAGTTCTGGTCCAAAGGCCAGTCCTCAGATATCAAGATCTCATCATAAGGCAAGTCAACAGCATTATAAGAATCGGCGACGGGCCAACCCGGCCGGCGCCAATATCCTCTATGTTATATATGTTTAGTTTTTTTTTTATTTGAATATAATTTGATAGATTATTAAAGCATTGGGTCCCGGATATGACCCTTAATTTTCATGCTTCCACTTGGGCAAAAAATAATTGTTACAAAACACGGTCTGATTTCCAGCGAAGCCGTAAATCAAAATTTGTTCATTATTAAATCAAACTTAATAGTCCTTTAATACTTAATAGTCATAAACTTAATAGTCCTGGCAGCGCACTCAAGGTTCTATTCGATAATTTGTCACTTACTGTTGAATCTCGAATGGCTATGCATCTACCCGACCTCAGTTCGCAATTCCTGTGTTCACAACAAGTTTAACTCTTCTGCTTGATCTGACTCAATATGATAATCAGTTAGTTGTCAAAGATACAAAACTGATTTACATGAATTATTTCATTTATTTTACTCATATCTTCAAGCTCCCCGATAGCCGACCATCGAATTAATTATCGTCGCTTTCAATGTTAAATATTGTCGCCATCGTAAAATTTCATTCTGAATCGCAAAAAAACTACTGCGCGGAAAACTAGCTACGAAAACGCGTTGCACTCGAACATTTAGAGCTCACTAATAAATTATTGGACTACCAAAAAATCTAATATAACATAGACTTTACAAACGTTAAAATGTAAGCAAATAAAATCTCACATCCTCTCACCAAACCATGAACCAAATGTAATAATTTACAACAAAAAGCACAATATATTTCGATTTGGAAGAGGTGCCATCTGAACGTTCGCTTTACCTTTTCCGTAGAGTTGACATTTAATACAATGATGGAGTTCGGATGAGATTGATCTTCTTGCTTAGGATATCTAAAATCTTGTCCGCTTCTTTCCCATGAGGAATTTTGCTCTTGCGTGACAATAATTTTGATGGCACTGTCGTATCATTTCTCGCACCATCGCATGTCTTCCGGGCATCAGGATGGGATAACGAAATTCCTCTTTGTAGTCGCTATTTAGGATTGCCGTCTTGACTTTTAATATATCATCGGGACTTTTGATGGTGGGATCTTTGATACCCAACAACTCCGGACTCCACAGCCTCGAAATATCTTATTAGGTGCAAAACATGTCTATTGAGGTAACCTTGGGACTCCTCGACAGGGCCGCTACTAGTCTATACGAATTTTGTTCCCCAAGCTGCAAGACCGCTGTTCAGATCCACGCATGGACCATTCTTCTCAAGAGCTTCATAATCTGAACCCATTATAATATCTATATCGCTCTTTTTTACATAATTTTTGACAGGCCACTAATGCGGATTTCATGCGCATCAGTTCTTTAGTCTTTCGGCGAATAGGTTTGCTGGCACACGAGGAATGCCTCCTCCCAACTTATTCTTCTCCCGTAGGATTATTTCCATCTTTCCATTTCTGTTCATTCTAGTGATTGTTACATTATGACGGAAGGTTTTTTCTAAATGGGTTACGCTGCCATTCGCATGCATGTCCCTGGATACATCCGCTCCCACGGGCTGACTCCTTAATTAAATAATTCCTTCACTAAGGATGAGGTTATAGAACTCCTTTGGCTTCCCTCATCAAAAAGTAGTCTCAATGTTCGGGGTTGGCTTGATTCTGAGCTTCATACCTTTACCAGCAGCGTTTTCATCAAAACTTCTTTGGTTTCCGGTATCAATTTGGCGTCTCATTATTATCATTATAATTTTATTATATGATTAGATCATATGTAATTTGGACGTAATATTCACTTGACCTGCTAGAGATTGATGGAAAAGTACTAGAAATGAGTCAGCATCTGGAAGACATCACGTGATAGATCACGCGATCAAGCCTTAATTTTGGGCGGAAGCGAATGCTTTATAAGAGCTGGTAACCTCAGTATGAACCCCCCCCCCCACGCAGTAGTTGATAAGCGCTCCGCGATGTAACGCGTCGGTTGAGTTCTCCGACCTTACGGTCGACACCGTCGCTTATCTGTATCGTAACTCTTGTATTACTACCTTGTATATCAAGATATGTTATCTAGACAGCTGTGTCTTACTTATCCTTCACTACCTTAGTCACGTAACCCGAACCTCAGGTAGAGCTTAATCGATGAGCACGGACATTGGTGCACTGGGTGTTATACTGATATAGGCGACCGTCTCCGGGTAAAGGTTGCTTGTTTCTGTCAGTTGTTTGACTTTTGTATATTCTGGAGAATTCGCTCCTTTTCCCGACTGGCGACACATAGTAGTTGTTATGTGTTTTTTACTGCAGATCTGACACTTGATGAACGAGCGACATGAGTTTGCAAAATGTCGCGGATTAAGACATAATATACATAAGCGCCATTCTTTACTTTTTGCACGTCTCTCATCAGGAGTCAACTTGTCTGCTTTGAAACAAGCTGCAATTTTGTGTTTTCTATTTCAAAACAAACAATTGACTCACTGCCCTAAGAGTAGACCGGATAAGAAGCAAGCTCTTTCGCTTCTTATCTTGCTTTTCCGCTCGATGCTTTTCCGCTGAAGATGCATCTAGTTGTGAAGACCGACTTAAAATCCAGTCCTTCAGTAGTTTTGGTCATAATCAGGTTAGTGCTTATGCTACAACCAAAAGTGTTGAGATTATGGTCATGAATTCTACTATTTTTTTAATGATAAATTTTGGTGCCATATCTGATTAAAATCATTCTTATTATATCGAAAAGCTGGTCTGTTCCGCTTAGGGAGAGATGGGGAAGAACTCATTCATATTGTAACGAAGTACAATGCAGCTCAGACGCAACCTTCAGGCGATGACGTCATTGCCGTACTCAATGTCAGTTGGATAGACTTAAGACTTAATAAGTGGAAACTAAAAACCAACTTATAGTTGTTGACATGGACTTATCTGAATCTCTTAGTGCATATATGGAGACAAATTTACGAGGCCATGAGCTCCAATTTCGTTAGAAATGTCACGATTTAAATAAGGTTCGTTACACTAAAGTTTGACGTGACTAGTCTGAGTTCTGCGATTCGGTGGCTAGAAAAAATGCAGACTTTTAGGAAATAATTAATACTTTTGTGGCATGGAAATATTAACTCGGAAACGCGTTGCAGATTTCCAATTGCAACACGTTGATAAATCAAGATATTTGATTTCGTTGATATGCAAAAATTAATTAGATGTGATTTTCAATATTGGTCTGCATTAAGCAATAATTCGTAAAACTGTACGTGTAATGGTGATGTGTTCCTAGAAGGAAATTTTAATGATCAACTACATGAATGATGGCCAAAAGAGAAGTCTTATGAATGGGTCTGTCAACAAATTTAGCAAAATCAGGATGACTATCTCTGTCTATGCTACACAATTCCGGATTATTTGATAAATGGTGACTATAGTGAAGTAAATTGCTAATTATGTGAAGATATCCAATCCCTTACGAGCACACTTTAAATTGCTAAGATTTAGAGGTACCATACATTCCCACATACCTCTGTTATATATAACGTTAGATGACCTCAACATCTACTACGAGTATATCCCAGATTTTAGGATTTGGTAATTTGTCTACGTCTACTTATCTAAAACTAAAATATATTCATATCTATTTCCTGTTTATCTCCATGGCAATAGGCGTTTATGAGTCTTCTAACGATTAGCACTTATCAGTTTGCTATCGCGACGCCTTTCGAGATAGTTCAGGCTGCAGTTAGAACCGTTCAACCAAAGTTGAACCAGGTGAGTTCCAGGGTGAGTTACAGTTCTGGAATTTGTGTTTAGATTCAATATGTGAACCTGCTAAATTAAGTGATAATATTATAATAAACTTGCATCACATTTCATCTTGATTGAAGTATAAAATTAATTTTAGGCTCGGCATGGGAGACGCTGCCGCTGCGTATGAAGGAGAAATATATGGAGGTTGCTCCTGCACACTCGCCCAGGCAGACGTCGAGAAAAACACGAATAAATTTTTCATGCTTCGACTTGTCAAGCACAAGAAAAAATATCGAGTGCTTTCTCGATCGGGACGAGTGGTTTGTTTCTCAACTACACATTGCTATAAGGAAATCAGTGCATTAGTCGCAAACATTTGTTATTATATTTTTAAATTAAATTTTCACTATTACCCTATTTTAAATAATAGTTCGTCTGTGTAAACTATGTACTATCAAGTCCTTACAATTGCTATTATAATGGGAATTATTGCAAGAAAAACTTGTAATTAAGGGCTTCTATGATGTGGAGAAAAATGAGCAAACCTTCATGCAGTCTGCTTGTTGTCTTGGCTAATTATATTTCATATTTCCTACTTGAACCATTTACAAGGGGGCAACCGGATCTCAGTGGAAAGAAGAGGCTAATTTCTCGTCAGGGAAACGAGCCGTTGCGCGTTTCAGCTCCATTTTCAATGAGAAGACAGGCAACGATTGGTATGATCCCGAAAAATGGGTTCCCAAGGCTAATAAATTCACATTCCTTGAAACCGGTGAGATTTTTACTACAAGTTTAACAACTAAATGATGATTCGGCATTCAGAGAAAAGCTTTGCTAGGTAAAACTTTGATCGTGAGTCTGCTTTCAAACCATTTCGTTCTAATTCGCGAAATTAAAAAACAGATAATATTAAATTTCAGAAATGCTTTTCATTACATTCCCACTTTCTGTTACTTAATTCCCACCCCAGTTTGGGGCGTGACTTATTTTGTTTTTTCACTCACAGCGTTTTAAATGTACCTATTTGACAGTGCACACGACAAAGTTATTTCCTATGTAATCCTTATGAATATCAAAACTACAAAAATTGCTATGCAAATTTATATAACATTGATATTGATGCATTTCAATTCACGTTATTAGCTTAACTTGAACTCTAACTTTGATTCTTTTTGGTCTCGACTCAGTACCAGAAGAGGGCCCCTTCGGCTTACTCCTGTTGAACCCCGACAGCATCGGTGGCCTGAATTTTGGTGGGAGTCCTAAGCTACATTGTCATGTTTCCATTTCATTTTCTTGTATTCCATTTTTATTTTTTTGTATTGTTGCTTTTAAATTTATTAATTTGTATCGGTGGCCTGAATTTTGGTGGGAGTCCTAAGCTACATTGTCTTGTTTCCATTTCATTTTCTTGTATTCCATTTTTATTTTTTTGTATTGTTGCTTTTAAATTTATTAATTTGTATCGGTGGCCTGAATTTTGGTGGGAGTCCTAAGCTACATTGTCTTGTTTCCATTTCAGCAGTTTCTTGCATTCCATTATTATTTATTTGTATTGTTGCTTTAAAATTTATTACCACAGCTGGACTACCGACACTTCCATGACACTAGCTGGAAGTAACGCAAGTGAAGTCAAGCGGCCAAGAAATGTGTCCATCTCTTTAAATTTCTTGAAATATATTTTCAAACACAATTTCAGATTTTAATATTTATTATTCAATTTCTTATAAGATTATTTTCTTTCAAGCAGGGCTTTTGTATATAAGTTTCGAACTGGTATGATGTAATCGACATGGCCTTTTTGAGTGATACGTTGACGGACAAATATTCATCCTCTTTCAGACCCACGCGAGATGCCCCTAGGGAGGCTCAGCAAGAATCAAATACTATTAGGCCTGAAAGCGCTCTTCGCGGTCGAGATGGCCTACCAGACTAAGGTGAGTTTTCTTCTCCCTTCAGGGCGTCATGAGATGTTGAGGACCGGGGTCTAAGTTTCTTTGGATTTATGATAAGTTAATAATGAATGGTTATTGTGTTATTTATTAAAACTAATATTCAGGCCACATTTTATCGAATTTTTCATCAACAAATTATTTTAATGAATGAATAGAAAATTATTTAAGACGTTAAAAACATTTTTGGGGGACTGAAGTCATCCTAAAATAGGCCTATAGTGCTTCTGCCTTGTACGCCGGACATACGACCTACGAGACGTGTCCGGTCACCTTTTCTATGACTTCTGAGGCTATTAGTAATAGTGTCCAATAAGTCCTTAGAACAAAACGGTTCTTATAAATATTCCTAGTAACTCTAAGGTTGACTGAGCAGGAAAGAGCGAAACGCACGGTTGCAGTTAATAGTATTCACTATTGCCTAAGGCACGGTGGGTACAAAGGCATGCAGCTTAATTATACAGCTAAATGTGAATAGATATGTGCCATTTAGGTATTTGTGAACAGTGTAATATTTGTGAACAGTAATATTCGTGATATTAACATTTGTGAACAGATATATGTGTTAGTCAGTCTGTGCGTGTATGCTGGAAGTGGAGTGACGTAACTATAAGGAGCTAAGCGCTCAGAGTTCTTCTATTATAGGTGCTCTACTGTGACGTAACTGAAGGTAACGAGTGTAACAGCAATAGCTGGACGCGGTGGTGACGATCACCGGACTGACACCATACTTGACACCACCGGAATTGGCTCCTGGCCTGCTACAGTGGCGACACAAGCATATACTTTGTCATAGAATGCTGCTCCAAAATTAGTAATTTCTACGATCCAATAGAAGTTTCTTCTTCTTAATCCGATTTTTCTGTATAAATTATTTTTTAAGATCGTATACCGTGACTTAACTTTGCCGAAGTTAGACAACTATCGCTTTTCGGCCCATTTATGCTATATCGGAGGTTAAATGCACAGTATATTGTCACACTTCAGTGCAGGAAGGCATCAAGATGAATTAACTCAATGAAACAACCCAGTTGAAATTTAGCGCAGGATTTTTCGGTTTTGAAACTTTGCAGCCGATTCGAACCGTATGCCCGCCGGTTAACAGCCAATCAAAACCTACAATGCAGTATATTTGCAGAAAGCATTGCATGGTTAAATATGTATGCTTCAAAACGAGAAGCGTATTGACCAAACCTCTTCTGTGTCGATTAACCTTCCTTGCATTGGCGGTGGGCACGACTTGCATTTACAACAACTAACTCAGTGTAAAAAATTCTATCAGTCTCGAGCAATTGTACGGAAGCTCGCCAGCCCTCATTCCATCATAGTGAATAACGTTATCAAACTCTGTTCAATGCTATATAAAATATTTAATTGTAAAATTTTTACAGGATATATAATTTTAAAATTGCATTATAAGTAATGATCATGTTCACAATTTGAATTGTGACAACTAGCACGTAGCTAATTGCTCCTGAACTATAATTTGGCTGCCCGATAAGTTGACTTGTCGAGCAAAAACAATTATAAAGTCTGGAAGCGCAATTTTTCAGGTCTCGTTGATTTGCTATTATTAACACGTTGGTAAGGTTCATAGAAATTGTACTTTTTAGTTTATGTATCCTCCAACTTACTGCTGAATGGAAACTCTTCAGTTATTTTTGTTTAGATTTGAAAATGCTTCGTTCTAACTCATTTAATTCCCGTAACCAACATTTTATACATAGGGCACTTGTTCAAATACGAAAACAAATCTACACGTGACGTTATCATGGTAATACTAAAATTAGTTGATAACCTCGTTGCAATAAGACTCTTGAAATTTATCGTTTAGCGTTTTGATTCACCTGTGACGTGACCTCGTTTAGATGCGCTCTGTATTTCGTCATTGTATGGGAATCCCACCACAGAGGTGCGTGTAGGTATTATGTCTAGTTATTCATGTGATAATCATGTATACATATATCCACTGGTTTATAGAGGTGACTATGAATATCGTTACATGTATTAATCTGTTACTTATTTTTGCCAAGTATGCATTATATTTTGATTTGTTAGTATCCATAATTTGTTTATTCATGCATTTTCAGAAAGGCTCCGAAACTTGAGGCCGCAATTAGTAGAAGTGCTAAGGAAATACACGGTTTATTCATTTGTATTCTCGTATCCGTCAATAGTTTATTATTATAGATATTTATTAAAAGTTTGGGGAAACCGAAAGATTTGTTTGCTTATTTATTGATTAGTCCCCAACATTGTTTCATGTAAGGATCTCAATAATTTGAATTAATTTCACAAACCTAATGTATGCAGAGTCCTCCTAAATAGAAGTATTTCCCAGGCAAGCGACGAGCTTAAAATGAAGGCGATGAGTTTGTTCTACACGCGCTACCCCTGCAACGTCGGGGGGAACCGCAAGAAGCTGCTCCTGCTGGGGCGGCCGGCCGTCGCTGAGCTGAGGGAGGCTTTGAGCCTCACGCTACGTATGCTGTGGAAGGCGATGTGAGGCGGCCATATCCGGCCATGTGCCTTATAGTGAAATAACGATACTTGACGTAAACAAAAGTTAGTGAATTTATTAATTTCGAAGATAATTTACCATATGTTAATTTCAAATTCAAAATTATCAAAAAAAATTTATGTGAGAAGGCATAGAAACTGAATGTTTTATAATAGGTAAAATTTTTATGCGTAAAATTTTACAATTTTTATACGATATATGTAAAATTATTTGTTTAAACGCTTTTCAACTAATCATCTCAACTTCATTTCAGAATCAATAAGAGTGATTAGATGGCGCTGGACGAGAAGAGAACAGGATGGTGTTGACACCGATGCTCCGCATGTACAATACTAGCTTAATTTTGTATTGGCAGAGTGAAACGCGCCGGCTTCAAGCTTAGCTCCGTTTTCTTCAGAAGCTAACTATCATAATCATCCAGAGTATCACTTCAGGAAAATCACCATCCACAGTAGCACTTCAGGAAAATAGAAACAAAAAATATATCTTTCAATGAAGATCCAAGAGCGTGCCTAGATTTAAAGATCCAAGAAGAGCGTGACGATCCAAGAAGTTGATTGCGTTGCAAACCAGCCGTCAGGGTTTTTGCTTCGTTCTTGTTCAATACGAATTCCTCATTCTTCTCCTATGTGATTTTCATACATATGAAACTTTCGCTAAGAAATGATCAATATTCAAACTTAATCAATATTTGACAGACATGTGTTTTGTACAGAAATATCCGATATACGAGCTTGCACCATGTAGCCATGGGCCTATACTTTCAAAAAAGTTAAGAGATCGTAAGTTCATCAGCCAATCATTAACGGCCTTTCAAGCAAAATTCACCAATCATAGACAAGAAAATAGAGCATAAGTCCATGCGTACACTTAGCGAGTTCTGAGAGTATGACCTCTGGCTAGTAGCTTGGTAGCCTGGTAGCTTGGAAGCCTAGTATATTGCTTGGTAGCCTGGTAGCTTTGTAGCCTGATAGCTTAGTAGCTTGGTAGCTTAGTAGCCTGGTAGCTTGATAGCCTGGAGCTTGGTAGCCTTGTAGCTTGGTAGCCTTGTAGCTTAGTAGCCTGGTAGCCTGATATAGTCTGGTAGCTTGGTAGCTTAGTAGTCTGGTAACTTGGTAGCCTGGTAGCTTGGTATCCTAGTAGCTTGGTAGCCTGGTAGCTTGACAGTCTGGTCGCTTAGTGGCCTGGTAGCTTGGTAGCTCGGGAGCCTGGTAGCTTAGTAGCCTGGTAGCTTAGTAGCCTGGTAGCTTGGTAGCCTGGTAGCTTAGTAGCCTGGTAGCTTGGTAGCCTGGTAGCTTAGTAGCCTAGTAGCTTGGTAGCTTAGTAGCCTGGTAGCTTGGTAGCCTGGTAGCTTGACAGTCTGGTAGCTTAGTAGCCTGGTAGCTCGGGAGCCTGGTAGCTTGATAGCTTATATAGCCTGGTAGCTTGGTGCCCTGGTAGCTTGGTAGCCTTGTAGCTTGGTAGCCTGGTAGCTTAGTAGCCTGGTAGCTTGGTAACTTGGTAGTCTGGTAGCTTGGTAGCTTATTGGACTGGTAGCTTGGTAGTCTGGTAGCTTGGTACCTTATTGGACTGGTAGATTGGTAGCTCTGTGTGCGAGGTTGTTAAAAATGAAAAGGGCAAAAATGAACATTGGCGTGGAAGATACGAATGGCAACGTAAGTTTGTAAAAGCTGATGTTTTAGTCGAAGCATTGGAAATCGTGACAATGTTGCCAGAGAGCTCGTATGAAGATGTAAAGACGATATCCGGTAGAGACTCATCTCAAGGTGCAGAGAGTTCGTATAGAATTTTGGCTCTGTAAAGAGCACCGTCGTAAATTGTAATGGAAAATTAATTATAAGTTCGAATATATTGCTATTTTTGATTGTTTGTAACTGTTTTTACTTTCGATTAAAAAATATTATACTAAATCCTGTGAGACTTGTACGGAGTTGTTTAGGCATAAGTTGAAATGTCTAGCACCATGTCGAACCCGATGGAAGTCTAGTAGCTATTTCAAACTATCATTCAGTTTGGAAAAGATCCGGTCGAATGAACTGTTATTTTGGGGGGATTTTCCGTGGACAAGCCAAGAAAAGTACAAGAATCGGCGACAGGCCACATCAGCAGGCCCTTTCTTCAGCGCCGACATCCCTATGCTATGCTATGCTAAGGTGGCATCTGTGCAAAACTGTTTTATGGAGATCCTCCTGTTAGGTTATGTTTTGGATTCATGATTTTGTCATGAATTCATCGCTTTTTCTCGCACACTTGTAGGATTAAGTGCAATGATTTGCACGAGGTGGATTGGTGATGTGAGGGGAAGTGATGATGTATTAGACGTTAGGTTAAAAATTTCTCACTTCTTTTATATTTGAGTCACCGCTGAAGTGACTTCGCGTAAGAATCCGTTGTAATTTTTCATTCTGATTAGTGATTCCACAACAGAGAAAGATTTACATGCACGTCGAAAGTAATAAGATGCACGTCGAAAGTGAAAGTTTACATAAATACAGCGCACGGTTTAATTTCGGTTTGTATACTCAAAGTTAGTTCGTTTAAATTATAATTTTTTTCATTTGATACGTTTTACTCATTCTCCTCTTTGATTGCATCAAAATTAACCATACGATCATGCGCTAATATCTGGGGGCCACTGACGGTTTATTTTTCATATTTATTGAATGTACTCCGATCGCGTTATGATATAAGTTTTTTTAGGTACAAAGATACCCTCCCGATGCATATGCGAGCGTCCCTAGTTTATAAATATAGTTGTGCACGATGTGCATCTGCATACGTCGGAATTACATCTCGCAATCTTTATTCTATAGGGTCGCAGAACATAGGGGCAGGAGTTGTAGAAGGTCACTTACTATATCGCGCCCCCTCATTCGGCTGTGCGCGTTCACGCCGAGCATGCAGTTGCGATGTTCCAATTTCCGATAGTGACTTCAAGGTTTTAGCTTCCATTTCCGGTGTTTCTGATTTGAGCAGTTAAAATCATTGTATATTTTTGATCAGACGCCTAGTTTAAATTCAGCTTTTAGCTCTTACCCACTTGAAATTCTTAGGTTTTTATACCACTTAGGTTTTTTATTAATCTTGACTGTACTAATTACTGATTTATTTGTGTTCTAGAATTTTCAAACTGACGATGGAGCTGGACTCCGAAACGTTTTCTTTAAAGATAGTATGAATTTTTTTGGGAGTTTTCTTTGCTTCTACGTTTTTAGTGAATTAGCGTTTCAAGCAAACGAGCTACGCTATTACGTTATGATATTTATGATAATTCGTGATTGTCTAACCATTTTCTTTCTATATGGGGTTTCTAATACAATGCTAAACATAAAAAAGGAAATTAAACTGTGAAAATTTTTGTTCCGGTGATAATGAACCTACAGCCTACAGGGTACGATGAGCTCGATGTCAGAATTGACCGACTTGAAGCATAGGGATAATCCGACAAAGCTGACGGATAAGGGGACGAGGCCTCGTTATCAATTTATTGTTTTATCATTTTATCTTAGCTGTAAATTCTGATTTACTACCTTTTAGACAGTATATGAAAAAATAAATACTGATCGGAAGAGTAACCCAGTACCGAAAATGAAATTAGAAATCGTTAACAACGTAGATCCTTATCGCCCACTGCAGCTGATAATGGATCTACTAGGGTATAAAGTTAAGATTAAAATGTTTCCATAGTTTAGTTCGAAACACTACTTCATTTACTACATGCTGCATTACTTCTGTTGCAACAGAGATCATGAAGTGATGCGTAAATTCCATTGAATATCGTATTCAAAATTTTATTGTACGACTCTTGATTTCATAAGAAGCACGCCGAGTGTGCTGTGGAAGTCATACCACAATGGTGCCGTTGGACAGTGAGTCTCCAAAGTCTGCTCCTGTTTCTGATGATTTTATAAGAGCAGAATCAATGTAATTCGGTGATACCAATAACCAGGTTGATGGTAATGGATGTCAAGAAAGGTGTTGCGGTTGTGCTCACGAAGCGAACGAATTTATACTAGTTTTTAGTTAAGATTCTAAAAGCCACTAAAACCATGTAGGAAAACATTTTTACCTTAGCGAAAAACGGAGTTGCTAGGCACAAGTGAAGATGAAAAATAGGAGCTCACATGCGCTGTATAGAGAGTTTCGGGTTGTGGAGAGAAGACTTCATTTGTACAAATTAAAGAGAAAAAAAATATGTAAGAGGCAAACTTCGCGCGACGTTTGTTATCTCTTGCGTGCTGGAAGCGAGTTGAAAAAAAATATGAGCTTGAATTGGCCAGAAACTTTTGTTTTTGATGCTCGCAGCAAGAGAATATGATAGGATACAACTTGATTGTTTAAAAATGTAAAGTTTAAGTTTCGTTGACAATATAAAAATTCATCCTGAACTCATTCATCTACGTTTCAGTAAACTCTTCAGAATTCGATGATCTGTGATTGAAAAAACGTTCTGCAAATTTTATTTTTAATTTTTACCAATTTATTTATTTAAAGAATTTATACTTAATTTATGAAGGGGATACATTTCCATTTTATGTTTCGACTATTCTCTATGTGATATAACAACATTGCTCTCTATGGGAATATCCTCAATCAAAGTTGAGTCTAGTGAGGACCTCAACAATTTAAAATTTTCAGCAATTCAATTCAGAAAAACCATGTATGAAACTAATTGATTTTTTTCCCACCCTTTTTCAATGAAAAGAGTAGGTTTCACGTCCTAAGTCATTTGCAACTCTATAATTGTAATCATGGAAGGTGAACCTGCAGGTAAAACATGCTATATACCTGAGGATCAGCCTGGGTAAGTCATAAGTGCACAATATGTTTGTTGAATCGATTGTTGTCGTTGTGTGAAATGTGATTTTATTTATGTATTTTATCTGATTCACCAAACACTCACAAATGTATTAAAAATATTTAAAAAATCCTAAGAGTTGGTGACGAGCGCTTGAAAGAGAACTTGGCCAAACTAACGTCTGCGATTTCAATGGTTACTATGTTATTCGTGTTGTGTTAATGGTTTCTCCAGTATAAATTGTGGTATTTCTTATTTTTATAAGCTTTCAATGTTTCAAGTTGGTTAACTATTTAATAAATATTTCAGCCCGGCATCAAAGAAGCTCAGAGCTGCTGATGACGGCCCTGACGGCAATGAACCCGCTGCTACTGCAGGACAGAAACATGCAGTCTATTTTTGCACACTCACCAAGGCAGACGTCAAAAAGAACATGAATTCATTTTGTAAATTACAAGTTACCATGGCAGAGACGAAATACAAAGTTCATCGTCAATCCGGACGCGTGGTTTGTACCAAAATTATATTCGTTTTATCGACTTTATGAAGAACGAATGTTGTTTACGAGTGTTCGAATCGCGTCGCCAAGCAACATTCGCTGATATTTAAACTATACTTAAAGTGTTTCTACTTTTAATTTCTTATAATGTCAGGTCATAAGTCATGCGTTGTTTGAGGATATTGTCTGTAATTAAGTACGAAGCGTGTTTTTAGAGTAAGTTCGGTTTTTAATTACGCCGCGGCAGCGCTCTACCTATTGAAAATCCTGTCGACGTCGAAGTGCGACCGTTTCTCTGTGCTCAGGGCTTCAATTAAGTCAGTTCACATTCGTCGCCAAATCAGCAAAGAGTGATGAAAACATTATGAGTGATGGAATAGTGCAGAAATGAGACAGGCCCTTTAAAGATGGCAGCAAAAACATGCATGATGGGGAATGAAGTGGGAAACCTTAAGTCATTATCGATGATCTAATTCAAAGGGTGGACTGTAATATGAAAGATAACAGATATTCGCTCTGAGACAGCTGGAAAGTTTCCTGCTGTCTCAAAAAGTATAACTTACGAATTTGTCTAGTCAGGTTCTTTAATCAGGTGGCAAGCTTCTTTAACGATAGCATGCACAAGCAGGTCCCAAGATGCAATAAATACCTCAATATCAATGGGAATTATGTAGAAAAATAGAGTGAAGTATGACTTTTCAAGTGAATAAATTCGGAAAAAATTAAATTTTTTTGTAAAATCGGTATTTACTTAGAAAACGCGCCTCGTACAAAGGCAATATTCGAGTTCATTTTAGATCGAAAATCCAACAGCGACAATTAATTGTTTAATAAAGTCCAGAATATATGACCAAATTATATTGCTAGTATAAATCTGTGCAATATTGACACGAACTACTTTCAAGGGTGATAAAAATCTGCTATGCAAAGAGTGGGGTGTTTTCCCGGGAGAAAATGAAGCTCGGAAATTATTTGAAGTTTTGTTATTTGAAGAAACCGGCTACATATGGAAGGATCGTGAGAAATCTGATCCCATTGATGGGAAATACGCATGGCTTGAAATGGGTGAGTTTTTGTAAGCGCAATAAAAAATTTCAATAATTACTAGGCAAATGTTCTAATTTACCAAATATATGCGTGGTAGACATTTGGGAAGTTTATTAATTTTTGGGAAGTTTATTTGGGAAGTTTTTGCTTTAAACAAATTTTGCCGTACAATTGATAAAAAATACGCAAATATGCTTTTATAATAATATATTACTAAAGGTTTTATTATTTGAGTGTTTTGAGTATTTATAAACAATTACATGTACTTTTTTGGCGGTACGCCTTATTGATTTAGTAATAATTCCTAATATAAAACTGAATTATTCCCTCTAGTTAAAACAATATTGATGTTGGGAAAAATGTAGTCTGCCCGCTATTTTGGTCAATCAGAAATAATTGCATGGATGTTGTTATCAAATCAGCCCAAGGAGGGGATGTTGCGGATGGCAGCAGTTCAAGCCTCAAGCCAGACCTTCACATCAACGATTTAAATTTTGGTGGGAATTCAATACTATTTTATTTTTGTATTTATTTCATGCTTTTAAACGAGGCATCTGAATTCCATTCTTATTTTTTCGTATCGATGCAGCCAGCGGTATAAATATACATGTCTCGACCAAATTTGTTTTAGGTTCAATTTAACGGAATGAATATTGATGCGAACTCAAGTTCAATTGAATTGTAAATAAATTAATTTCATGTTATCTTCCTGTTTATTCATATATTCGTTGCATTCTGAACAACTGTTTTTTGAACACTGTGGCCCATCGCAAAGGACCTGTTAGCCTAGCATCGCGTCAGCATTAAAAAATAAAATTTCTAAAGCGAGCTCAAATTATCGTTCCGATTTATTTGAAATATTCTGTTGAAATAAAGGGCTCAGTAATATACGGATATAGCTCACCTTGCCTATTGTTTGCTTAGTTTTAATCTTGTCAGTATACTCTTGATTATTTAAAGTGTTGATATATTATTACAACTACAAACTAAAGATGTAAGATGCATTAGTTAATATGACAATCGGTGCAAAAACGTCGATTGTTGAGGGCCAACACCCACGTGGCGTGTCTGGGGGATGGTTTGCGCCATACTTGCGTGACCTTTCATTATGAAGTAGGGAAGGCTTCCTCCCGGCGGCGATGTGGGCGAGGGGGGGTCTCTGCCGTTTGGCCTGTCCCACGGTATGCCGGGCGCACCCATCCGACGCGTAGGCCAGGGTACCCCCACGACGAAGATGCGGCAAAGATCGGGGGCAGTGTCTCACGCACTGCAATAGCAAGCCTCTAAACCATCCAAAACTCAGACTAACCACAGGCTGCTTCAAAATGGCCCCAATCGCCCATCTCCACCATGAGATCGGCGTCCTTCCCATGACCGCCCACCTGGATCTGGCCGGTGCTCAATTTCTCACCAGCGCCCTCTAGCCTACCCATACTTCTTTCAGCATCGTCTCTGCTCCCCTCGGAGACCGCCCAATGAAAGCTTCTATCAAGACGAGATTCGGCCACCTTGTGGCACCTTTCCAGGCAGACGGCATCATGCCCGACGGTGCCTATGAAGAGGCAAAACGCTCCCTCCGCAGGGAGAGGACTTCCCGTGTCGCGGCGACCGGGAGGTTTTCTCCCGGTCTCTAACAACGCTGTCCTCACAGCCTCACCACCACCTATTGCATCAGTGGAGGCCTCACTTCCTCGCCCCTACCGCTAGGCGCTATCCCAGCTCCTATCGGGATACTGCAGCTCCCTGGCGTCCTACACCTTCAGGGTCGGACGCTCCCCTAGCTCCGCCTGTCCAGAATGCGGTGATCACCTCGATCCAGTCACTCCAGCACCTCTTCGCCTGCCCCGCCTTCCCTACGTCCCTCAGCGTCTCCTCACTGTGGGACAGCCCCGTGGAGGCGGCTGCGTTCCTGGCCACCCTCCCTGCCTTCGCCAATCTCCCCCCTCTTCCGGTGCCTCCCCCCCGGCCACCACCGGAGCCTCCACTCACGCAAGAAGCGGACGTCGGCGCATGAAACAACAACAACCTTTCATTATAATTTCACTTTAATGACGCCAGCTGAACGGAAGTTTGAGTTAATCATGTAGCCGATAACCGTGCGATTAACTGTTTTCTTTGCTTATCCCATTGAAAATTCTAGGATGATTCGTGCATGTTGACGTTCTCTATGAAATAGCAAATACTTCTTTATTCTTCTTTGTTTATTTTTTTCTTTTTTATTCTTTCATTCTTTAATGAATTTATACAAGCAAAATCTCGTGTTACGGAAAATCGAAATTACTATTAACATTAATTAGGATGAGCTACATGACCTATTGATAAGTCAGTGCATATCATCCCTCCAGACCCACGTCAGATGCCCCTGGGGAGGCTCAGCAGGAGGCAAATACAGAAGGGCTTGGATGCGCTCGACGCGCTCGCGGCGGCCATCAGGAATAAGGCAAGTCTTTCTCCCCGTATCCTGAGTACTTCCCACTGATTAAATACGGATTTTAAATAAAATTATATACATAGAGAGAGACGACGTTTCCTATCGTCTCATATCTTTTAACGTTGGGTGAATCGGAGTGATCTACTCCACCAAATTTACGTTACGTTCAGGTTCAAGATACCGGTATTCATTACTTATCGTTTTGTCAGGTAGGCTGCCGAGTGGCATTTGATTTGGCACGTGAATAAGGTTCTCTTTTTGGAAGCGTTACGGCAAAGAAAATACAAAGAGAGGGTTGTAATGAAACACTGATACATTTCATATTAAATTGAGAAATTCAAGTTCACATCCTACGTTAACAAAAGGTGAGCTTTACACAATCAAAAGTGAGAACCTATCAGTTTACATACGTTGATCAATTGCTGTTCCGTTGAGCCGTACGACCGTTGCAAACGACCGTATTGTACACGCACACTTTGCGGCCGTAGGTTGAGCGGCCGTACCGCTGCTGTATTCTCGCGTCCGCTTTCACAGTTGCTCCTTCTTCATGGCCGTATTTCCCGCGATATAGTGATGTCTCGCGGCCGGTCTAACCGTGGAGTTTATGATGACCGTACTTTGGAATAGTAGTGCTCGTCTTCATAGCCGATGAAAATACTCCAACTCCGTTATCGTACTGCCGTCGAGGTGACTGTGACCGTACCACTTCTTCAGATGAAAATAGTGACCGTATACTTTGTTGAAGTCGTAGCCGTCCATTGTATATGTTTGTCGCACTCACAGGAATCGTAACTGCCTCGGTGAGTCTAAGTTTCTCGCAAGTCGCGACCGTCGATGTTCGAAAACGGTAACACCGCGGCCTCACGGCCGCAGCAGTTACGTCTGCAGACCGTACGTGCGTGACGGTCTCCGTCGTAGAACCAACAACCCTTGGCGCCAATTTTGAGGTCCTTATATAGGGAGCCGTCGCGCACAGTTAAGCCTAACCCTCGCACTGACGCGCATTCTTTCGAATGGAATGTCCCTCGCAACGCTGAGCGTCAACGTTTCAATGTAAACAACCTTTCCCACGGTCTCGCAATAACGGCCCGCATTCCTAGCATTCTTAACATCTACGCATAATACATGTTCAATATTACCTATGTTCAATATTACCTACTTTATTCACCACGATGCCCCAACGTGCGCCCCGACGCACTGGTGGAACTTATTCCTGCTGCAAGTCTGATTTCTTGACGGCAAATTATAAGAAATGAAAGCTTTACATTTTGAGCTGAGAATCTATATTGCTCATTAAAAGTCGCATTATTAAAAAACTGAGGCCGTCACATTTAATCAAGTTTCTAAAAGATTTAACCTTTCATCCTCATATAGGACAGTATCAGAGTACTATAGGAATTAATCGATACACGTATACGTAATCGGCTGTTACTGAATATGATATTATCTCCATCTGACGTTGGTAGACCACAGTTAATTTAATGTGTTAGTAAATTGGCCATTGTGCTTGCATATCCTTTCTCTAGGAAGACGAGGTGGAGAAAAACAAGAAAATGAGCCTCTTCTACACGCTCTACCCTTGCAACGTCGGTGGCAAGAAAAATAAACTGCCCAAGCTACTGATTGATGACATCACTGAGCTGAAGAAGGCCATAAAATCTCTGCTCTAATCTAATGCTCTTTGGAATTTTTTGTCGAGGTCTGAGATATAAGCTACCTTAAGCATTCCAAAGTACCTACACTATTGCCTGGTAAAGAAGGAACAACATTCCAACTTGGCAAGGAATATATCATAATAAAACCTACATCCTCCGACAAATTACTTAACATTTCTTGTCAATTTTTGAAATCTAATTTTCTGACACAAAATTTCTGTCATAGAAATTGTTTCGTACTTAAATTTAATCAATATTCTAAAAAAAAGTTTTCTTGGCTTCTTCGTAGTCCGGGAATCTATTGCCTGAACCTAACGCGTTTGTTGTGTTGCAAGAAAGACGCGAAATAAGCATAAATTAATCAATATAATTATAGGATGGATTACTAATTTGAATTGTAAAGTAACTTAAATAAATTCATCAAGTTTTCACAGTGTGTGCTCATTTTAGGCTCAAGACATTTTTGCTTTCCGTTGCTTCAATTTCCATTCTGGACAAGTATTTCAACATAATTCTAACGTCGTGTTTCAACATAGGCTCAACTATATGATGCTTGCTGTGAACCTGCACACGGATTATTAATTAATTTGATTTCGACTGGTGTCATTCATGTCACATTGGGATACTTATTGGCAGATTGTGTAATGCTGTCGATTTGAAGTAGAAAATAATATTGTCGATAAGTTAAATTAAATTCCGTGCCTCTTTGACAATTCAGTAACATGAGGTTAAACCTGGTATAATAAAAGACGATTCCAGCGTTCCAGAGCAGTGGTTGACGCACTTGATTATGTGACTAGTGTTTTTTGATTAGATCGTGCTCGGCTCGGGTCGCCTGCCGAAGACCACAACTGCCCTGGATGTAATGGACCATCATGATTCCTGCCTTCCGGAACGTAGCCTTCAACACTTCAAGCCGTCCGTATCTAGGCCGTGGGTCGAACTTGCACGGCAGGTGGTGGTCAAGGCCGGAGGAGGACAAAGCCGAGTGGTGCACAGCTGATTGGTGGATATCCAGAGCCAAGGCGTTCAATTCAGGGCTTATTGGTGCACAAAATTTTGGGGTGCACGGCTGCGCTCCCCTCGGCTCGAGTCGGGACGACAATTTGCTGTTAAATTCTGGGATTACGGCCCCAATTATTGTGGTATCCCTATACTAGTGTTTCAAATTTACTGTGTGGGAACAACACATAAGATTATAGTCAACACTGTAACTATGAAGTGAAACTCAGCTGAAATTGGAATAAAGCTACGACTACTACCGCTGTATCTCTTGTTGCTCCTTTACATGCGCACTTGCGTTTGAATGTTGCATCATCTGGCGAAGAGGATGTAGGACACTACGAAGATTTTCCAGCCTGATGTGGAAAGTGTGGATAAATTCATCTATGGTTATGGTTATCCTAACATCCAGCTGACAACTAAGTAGAAAATCCTGCTGATTACTTAATTCATAAAATATTAAGGAAATATTTTAATTGAAAGCCACATATTTTCTTCGTTAGTAAGCAATTGAATTCTCAGATGTGATTTAACGAAAATTAGTTGCTACTTTGATCGTTCAAATAAAAGAGGGAAACATGAAAAACTACATAAATGTTATATATTCCAGAATATTTTTTATAAATCCTCACAACCCTTATTTTTCGTAGTATTTTTCTAGTGTCAGCGCACCGAAACTAAATAGGAGTTCGATAAAAACGATCAATCAGTTTTTTCTTGCAGGCCTGTGTAATATTATAACTGTTATTTAGCTTCCCACTTTTCTTCTTAATCTTTCGAGAAGAATAAATCATGAAGATTTTTATTTTTTTTTCGAACCTACGTACGATACGATAAGCTCGGTGTCAGAAATGATCCACATGAAGCCGGAGTGATAATCTGATAAAGTCGACTGATACGGGGACGAGACTATATTAAAAATTTTTGGTTGTCCTGTAATAAAAACTTATTATTTATTTATGATTTTCCTGCCATAAAATACTGCATTGTTGTAAATATTCTGATTTACTGTTTTACAGTAAATACAGAAAGGATCAGGGATGACGTCTTTTATAGGAAATAGACAACTCGAGGCCATTACGCAACCGAGCTCCGATGAAATTTCAATCTCTGCTAGAAGAGTACCTTTTTACGTTTTTACGTTTTACGTTACGGACGTTTACCTTTCGACGACGGAAAACTGGACGTTTTCCCGTGCAAACTATACAATTTCTGATCGTCCGCCCCTGCATTACAAGAAGAAGAGGTTCTAAAGCGCCTTATCGCTGGAAATCCAAACAAGTCATGTGGACCGGACGGCTTCCACCCCAGATTAAAGAGTTAGCAACTGTCCTATAGCCGGCCCTTTGACGTCATTTTTTCGAAAAACTTTGAACGAAATGGGGGGGCTCTTGCCGGCTGACTGGAAAGAAGCTCAAGTGACACCATTATTCAAAAAATGCGACAAAAGCTGCTCGGGCAACTATCGCCCTGTCAGTTTGACACGTGTCGCTTGCAAGGTAATGGAATCTGTTGTGAGGGATCGATTGATAGATCATTTGACTGTTAATAATCTCCTATTAGACTGTCAACATGGCTTTATTGCCGGGAGATCCTGCACCACCAGCCTCTTGTCTACTCTGAACGAATGGACTAGCCTGCTGGACGAAAGTGAGCCAGTAGATGCAGTGTACTTCGATTTCGCCAAGGCATTTATCAGTGTCTCACATGAGCGCCTGTTGCGTAAATTTAAGTCCTTGGAAATTGAGAGTAATGTACTCAAATTGATTAGAGATTTTCAAGTAAGAAGACGACAACGTGTCAGTATTAATGGGTCCGTATCAGACTGGGCTTCAGTGCGCAGCGGCGTGCCACAAGGAAGCGTTCTCGGGCCTATTCTATTCGTTGCGTTTATAAACGATCTGCCAAAAGCTGTGTCTAGCGTTTGCTCGATGTATGCTGATGACACAAAAGTTCATAATACAGAGAAGAATACAACGCAAAAAGTACAGTTGCAAGTTGATCTTGACAAGCTGGTTGACTGGGCTGATAAGTGGCAGCTGCGTTTTAACGCTGACAAATGTAAAGTAATCCACCTTGGCAAGCATAATGAACAGCAAGATTAGTATAAGAAGACACGGTTGTAACGACAGAGTGACGATGTCAAAGTCGACAATGGAAAAAGATTTAGGAGTTAATATCGACAATGAGTTGAAATTTTCCAAGCATATTGAAGGTCAAGTTACTAAAGCCGCTCTTTCAGAAGCTCTTCCGAGTATCTAGATGCAGAAGCGAAGAAGCAGTTATTTGTTTCTGTCGTGCACCCGAACCTAGAGTTTGGAAACGTCGTGTGGTCACCGAAACTTGAAAAGGACAAAAACTTAATAGAGAGTGTTCAAAGACTTGCAACAAGGATAATTCCGGGCTTGAAAGGCAAGTCCTATGAGAAAAGATTAAAGATTATGAAGCTTCCAAGCCTCGATTATCGACGTCTGAGTGGTGAACTCATTGAAGTATACAAGTATACTCATGGCTTATAGTACAATTAAGGTCACAGAAGGATTACTAGAATTTGAAACAAGAACCAACACTAGGGGCCACGGCTATAAACTAAAAAAACTGCGTTGTAACACATCCATGCGACAACATTTCTTCTCGCTTCGAGTCACCGACATGCGGAACAGCCTCCCTAATAGCATCGTTGACGCTCCGAGTAAGAACGCCTTCAAGAACAGACTAGACGAAGCTATGCAGGAGCATATGTTCAGTCTTAAAATGCCTAGCAACTTTCGGACCAGTCAGTAAGTCCAGCAGCTATCTCAATCATCAAAGTTATGGAAAGATCGGGTTCCAAAGGCCTCTCCTATTGCCAACCCAATTATGCGCAATGAGCCTTTCCATCTCCTACTGTCTTTTCCATTTTTCATTCTTCTTTCTGACCAATCTGCGCCACCTCATGTTCTTTTCCACTCTTTTGTAGTGGCACCGCATACACACACACACACACAAAGGCCGGATCCCTTGTGAATCAAGTAACGAAAAGTACAAAAATCGGCAACAGGCAATGGGCCTATTTCTTCAGTGCCGACACTTCTATTCTATTACTACCGGCGGCGAGAAGCAAGCAACAGCATTTTGCATCCGCTGCCTTAGCTGGAGGAATCAGCTGGCCCAACTGAGGGAATCATGTGACCAACTGAGAGTATCAGCTGATCCTACTGAGAGCAAATGCGCGGTATAGGTATGGAATAGTCCCAGGCCCTCGGCGGTCTGCTGAGGTCTGATGGTTTAAGACGAAGAAGACGTGGCAGCGTGGAATGAGAATGTAACGCCGCGAACTTCGACAAAAATATATATACATATATGTCAGTCCCGTTACGTAGTGTTACCCACTAACGACGTAGGGTATTTTGGTTCTCCGTGCGACAAAGGTAGAAGAGGTGGGTGGGTACAAGGAGCTCCAAAACACGAAGTTGCGGACCGCCTGCTTGTGCCTCCAAGGGCAACCTACAGCGATATTGCGGGTACAATTGAAACAAACAGTATTAAACTAACGTCTGTACTTTGTGATGCTTTTCTAACTGTACATAACTTATATATCTGCTTTGTTACATAGTTTAACTCTATAAATAAGTATATAGAATACAGTCTTCATAATGTCGACACAAACGACCAAATAACTCGGTTAAGACTTCAGCGTGTGCATGACAACGATTGCTCTCTGCTTAACTCTTAGCGGTAATGCCTATTCCTACCCGAGCTTTATTGTAGTGATATTCCTACGTAAATGCCGTCAAAATCTTAGCCGAGGTTCATCGTGGCACTGTACTTCTATTAATGTTTTCATAATATTATTCTTACTATTAGGCAGTCGTTATTTTATTATGACCAACCACATGACGGTCATAATGCTAATCTTACTGATAGCATTGTTCTGCTGACGATAACAATAAAGAAAGCGGCAACAATAAGATAGTATTTTAAATGATTCAATAGGTTTCATGCCATCTTACAACGGTTAAACACAATTGAAGCTTTCAGTCCAAAATAAATAAAAGTTTGGACTTGGCCCTGGTGGCATAACATGAAAACACGATGGAGGTCCTGAGATAACAGCACCAGGAGAGCTATATTCAATAGTAAAACTAATCAGGTCCTTATGGAATAGCCTAGTGGAGTAATCCTTGTGTGATAACATGAAAATACTTTTGGTGTCAACAGTCTAATGCCCAAAAATTACTGCATTGCTCCAGAAGAGAGGCACTGCTGCTTGAAAAATTCGGAAATGGTTCAACAAGTGGACTGGGAGGGCGAGAAATTGAGGTACAGAGTAGACGTGTCACCACTGAGACCACTGAGTCCACTCAGCCCTGACAACCCACTGATTGTACTGGACGGTGACGTCATGCAGTGATAGTCCAGTTGATCCAGGAAGCCCTCACTCCTGCAGAGGGCTTCCCTGGCGCTGTCTTCGTTCACCCCAACACCCAAACGACGGTTGATGGCTGACCTGTGACCAGGGGACATGTCTACGTAGGAACCGTCGTTATTCCCCAAGATTTCTAGACTTGAACTTTTTTGCGGTGTCTTGAGCTGAGTAAGGAAATGAAAGCTGTTTTCTGGCGTAGAGTGGTCAATGGATGGTGGGGGTGATCGGCTACTGGGTGGTGAGTGCTCACTGAGTGGTGGTGTGTAAGTAGAGGTCTCAATGACAACATTCTGATTGACGTACGGGTGCTGAGATTCATGAACATTTAAATTCTCTAGCGAACAATGACCGTTAATGTTGCCAACGTCTGAAGTTGTGAGAAGACTAATGCTTCGGGATTTTGCTTTCTTTTTCGTTTCAATTTTAGGGACAACTTCTGATTTAGGGAAATCGAACTTGTGTAACTGAGGCCTAACTGGGGAGTAAAAATCGTAGCAAAATGGAGAGGTGGGTGGGCTGATGGACAACGGAGGAAGCTTGGCGCTGGTCGGGCGGGCGTAATGCTCGGTCAAAGAATGAGTGGGGAGGTGGAATGTAAAGGCGACGCTGGTGGAGGAAGGATGAGATGTAGGAGATGACGTCCTAGGAACCCTAAGGCTAAGTGAGCGCTGAAATGCACTGTGGGATGTTTGGGGGTGTTGAGGGAATTTATTAAGGAGTGAAAGTAAAAAGGGAGAAGGGGAGTTGTCGTCAGCTTGAAGTGTCGAGTCCGAGTTGACCTCAAGGCTGAAATCGACTGTGGAGTTGAAGTCGCCAGTTGGGTTGGCAGGTGTAGACTGTCTTCTAGACGGGCGCAGTAATGTGGAAGATGATGATGGAAACAAAGTGGACGTGTTGCTTATCATGGAAACGTCGGTAGAAACGTCGGAGGACCCCGCTAGAGCCCCATAGTCTGTACCTTTCGGGTACAGGTCGTTTACCTCCACCAACGGGCAGCTGGATGTTTCACCCCTGGCGAGGTCGTGGAAAGACAGGGTGCTGGCACCAGAATGGCTTGCATTGCAGGAGGCGACGGTAGGAATTTGATCATCTTCTCGTTCTCCCGCAGCTGCTGCCCCTGTGCAGAATCAATGCGATAACTTAAGTAACAGTAAAAGTTTCGTAAGTGAGATTGCCTATTTTTAATCATAGAAGGTGTCTGATTTGCGATGCAGGCTTAGCGCTCCAATGGCAAGGTGCTTCTGACTTCGGCTTTTCCATCTCCGGGAAATAATTTTTTTATTTAAAATATGTTTGAAATTTTTCAATAGTAGAAGACGGCGTATTATTCATGAAGCAGTGGTCTACACATTTACATGTTTTTTATCCCCGTAAACTGATGGCAAATGAAGGAAAATAATTGCAGTTTTCGCATGGAAAAATTTTAGTAAAAAGAGAGTCAATGAAACTTATTTCGCAATCGTACCTGAGGATGTGGGAGCGGACGCCTCCACTTCACTGGAGTATGCCAGGTTATCCAATCCGAGCAAGGCTAGCAGGGGTTGGGCAAGATAGGTTTAGTCGAGGTCAGGCTTCATCAATTCGAATTATCTGATATCATGACAGGTAAGGTTATAGGACAATGACAGGTTAGGACAATGACAGGTTAGGACAATGACAGATTAGGGCAATGACAGGTTAGGACAATGACAGGTTAGGACAATGACAGGTTAGGACAAAGACAGCTGAGGACAATGACAGGTTAGGATAATGACAGGTTAGGACAATGACAGGTTAGGACAATCACAGATTAGGAGCAATTACAGGTTTGGACAATTAAGGGCTGGTCAGGCTTAGTTAAGTTAGGATATGTAGGAGTACTAAAACTAAAATATCCTTAGTGGCGATGGGTTAGGTTACATCAAGACACATCAATTACACGATACGTATGTATAATTAAACCCTAAACTGTTTGGACAGGTTAAGGTATGTAGTGGATTGCCCAAATAAATGAAAGTTAGTTAATGTCAGGGTGAGCTAGGTTAACTAAGACTACGATGTGAAGGATGAGGTAGGAGTGAGTTCAGCTGGAGTTAGTCTGGGTAAGACAGGTTAGGCAAGTGCAGATTGGTCAGGGATAGACTGTAATTTGTTGGTAAATTTGAAATTTTGGATTAATAAAGCTAAACTATTTTCTAGCTAGGTCAGACTGGATACGATTATGAGGGTGCTACATAAGTTAGCGTTTTTAGTAATATAACGGCTAATCATGCTAGGAAATATCAGATGAGAATGGGTTAGAGCGAGTTAAGACAAATTAGAACGAGTTGGATGACTGGTCAAAGAGGGTTACGAACTTTCTACATTGTCGATACAGGGATACGAACATTCAGAAGGGGTTTCAATATTTCCAACAAGAATACAAGATGCAAGTGCAGACAATTATCAATCATTCACGATTTCCGTATCACTTACGTTAGAAGTTACGATCACGATGACAGTCTCCCTCCATATTGAAACTCCAAATCTTAATAACACAAGACGTCCAGTTTTTATTGTTCAATAAATACAAAGTGATTCAACCATCCGTCGTGCTGCTCCAACTACACCAACATAGCATACTAGTATCATCACTCGTAAATAAACTAGAATCATTACCAGTGCTGACAGCCTAACACTGGTACCATCAATAGTAACCTTGCTAGTGCCAGCACTGGTGATCATACCCAGACCGGAAACATCACTAGCACCATTGTGACTCTTGCCACTACCAGTATTATCGCCACAAGTGCTATTACTAGTACAAACACTAGCATCACTACTCATACACCTACTGGTACCACTACTCACCGGTATCGCTGATGTAGTTAGCGTTGTGGACGGCGATGGTGGGTGAGGGTGGGGCACGGGAGGGTGAGGGTGGGGTTAAGGTGGTAACCGGGCGGGGGAGTGAGCGCTGCAGCCCCAGGAGGACCGCCAGACACTCCCTGAACCGCGGACGCACGTCGGGGGGGAAGCTCCAGCAGCTCCTCATCAGGTCCCCGCTGTGGACCAATAGAATTGCCATAGATTGTGGATTATAATAGATTATATAAATGAATATTTAAATACTACTATCAGTATAAATGGATTATGTTACAATACTACGCGACGCGATGCAAGCGAAGGGAGGGAGGAGGAAACTGCCAGGTAATACCGCATGTTCGGGCATTTGGAATCATTTTTTGGTTCATAAATATACACTTCATATATTTGTATATATATAGAACATATATTATATATACTTTTAGGTTCATACTTAATTACTTATATATGGGTTGAATAAGGGGAGAATTGCCTACACATTTTTGTACTCACAGCAGTGAGGGGCAGTTGGGCATTGTACTCACAGGAGGGAGGGACAGTTGGGCATTGTACTCACAGCAGTGAGGGGCAGTTGGGCATTATGTAAGCCATTATCAGGCATTATGTAAGCCATTATCAGGCATTATGTAAGCCATTATCAGGCATTATGTAAGCCATTATCAGGCATTATGTAAGCCATTATCAGGTTGAGAAACGAACATTCGAGTCCTGAGCACAGCTAACGTTATCCGTAGAGTTGCTCCTTCTGTATAGCCAACCCACCTCCTCCCATAGCAGTATAACCAACCCACCACCCCACCTCCTCCCCTAGCAGTACCACCAACCCACCACCCCACCTCCTCCCCTAGCAGTACCACCAGCCCACCTCTTTCCTGTAGTAGTCGCTCTTGTAGATGTCGCGCGCAAGGCCGAAGTCGCCGATCTTGACGACGCGGGACCGCGGGTCGCCGGTGGACACCAGACAGTTCCTGGCCGCCAGGTCGCGGTGGACGAAGTGCAGGTCCTCCAGGTAGCTACAGCCTTTGGCCACGTCCACACACATGGCCAACATGTCCTCCACCCTCAAGCCTTGTCCACCATTGGCCTGAAGAAGGGAAAGTTGCTAAAAAAATACTGTAACATTTCATCTCTAACGCTCACCTTTAAACCAAAAAGCTCTCATTGACAGCCTCTCTACCACACAAATTTTCAGTCCTCTTCACAGTTCCTGTAGCCCACTCATAGCCCTGCCACACTCACCAGGGCCTATACTTTCAAAAAAGTGAAGAGATCGTAAGTTCATCAGCCAATCATTGACGGCCTTTCAAGCAAAATCCACCAATCATAGACAAGAAAATATCAGCACTGCCCCACCCACCAGCACTGCCCCACCCACCAGCACTGCCCCACCCACCAGCACTGCCCCACCCACCAGCACTGCCCGACCCACCGGTCTGCTGGCACGCAGGTGTGACAGCAGGTCGCCGCCCTCCATGAGTTCCAGCAGCAGCAGGAAGGGCTGCGTGCACACCGCCAGCAGGCGCAGGATGTGTGGGTGCTGGAAGTGACTCATCAGCTGCGCCTCCTGCAGGAACTCGCGCCTCTCCGCCTCTGAGGCGCCCTTGCGCAGCATCTGTATACGGGGGAGGTGGTGGAGTGGGTTACGGTGGTGATAGAGTGGGTTACGGTGGTGATAGAGTGGGTTACGGTCCCTAACAAAATTTAGAGTCGCCCCAGCTTCTGGTAATCAGAAGCTGGGTCGACTCTAAATTTTCACTGGGATGGAGGTGGTGGAGTGGGTTACGGGGGAGGTGACGGAGTGGGTTTCGGGGGAGGTGATGGAGTGGGTTACGGGCTGTCTCTTATACACATCTCATGGCCAACATGTCCTCCACCCTCAAGCCTTGTCCACCATTGGCCTGAAGAAGGGAAAGTTGCTAAAAAAATACTGTAACATTTCATCTCTAACGCTCACCTTTAAACCAAAAAGCTCTCATTGACAGCCTCTCTACCACACAAATTTTCAGTCCTCTTCACAGTTCCTGTAGCCCACTCATAGCCCTGCCACACTCACCAGGGCCTATACTTTCAAAAAAGTGAAGAGATCGTAAGTTCATCAGCCAATCATTGACGGCCTTTCAAGCAAAATCCACCAATCATAGACAAGAAAATAGAGCGTACGACTTACGTTCACTTAGCCAGTTTTGAAAGTATGGCCCCCTGCCCTGCTCGACCCACCAGCACTACCCCACCCACCAGCACTGCCCCACCCACCAGCACTGCCCCANTAATGACTGCTTAGAGGTACTGTCTCAAAAGTAATGACTGCTTAGAGGTACTGTCTCAAAAGTAATGACTGCTTAGAGGTACTGTCTCAAAAGTAATGACTGCTTAGAGGTACTGTCTCAAAAGTAATGACTGCTTAGAGGTACTGTCTCAAAAGTAATGACTGCTTAGAGGCTGTCTCTTATACACATCTGTACAACAGCACCCATGGTCATGCTGAGTCACCGTCTTTGACGATGCCAACGACATAGAAAAAATAATCGAGTTTACCCAAGGGTCGAAACTACAGCCACTTGCTGCCACCACTCGCTGCAGTGGCCACTCGCTGCAGTGACCACTCGCTGCAGTGACCACTCGCTGCAGTGACCACTCACCTTGATGGCCACTCGCTGCAGTGACCACTCGCTGCAGTGACCACTCACCTTGATGGCCACTCGCTCGCCCCTCATGCGCCCCTCGAAGACCTCCCCGAAGGCGCCGTGGCCGAGGAACTTGCCCCTCACCACCTCGTGCTGCGCCACTCGTGGCACCTCCAGGTCATCCCCTGGGGGAGGGGGGGAGGTCATCATATGGTTGGGGAGGAGGTACTAGTGTACCTAACCTAACCTAACCTGTATGTACGTACCTAAATTAACCTGAACTGTAGATAATGTTACAGGTTATACTATAGCGTACCTATAGGAAACTAACCTAACCTGTATATAATGTTCCAGGTTATACATATAATACCTGTATATGTATAATGTGTATAATGGTGCGTATTTTCACTTCACACAGAAGGGGAATATATTCAACACGCGCGCACAATGAATATATTCATCACGCACTGAAGACATTCTGTATATTGTCCACACATATAGAGTATACATAGGTACATTCTCCACACATGTGGAGTATACATACACTCACCACACAGATGGTTCAGATGGTACAAGACGTTGTCCTCAGTTGTGGGGAAGGAGGTTGGGGGTAGAGGGGAGAGCTGCAGTTCTCGAGGGGGTGAAGAGGGGGAGCCCAGCCCCCCTTTCATCTTGTCCTTGACTCGGTTTGCGGCTGTAGGCCATAAAAATTTAATAATATTAATTAAGTTGTTAATAGTTAGCATAGGTAAACATGTTGAGAAAACTAAACAATTTTCTATGTATAGAATTGATTCACTGTAATTATATCAATTTCTATGACTTTTTAAAGAAATTGGGTTTCAAAAGGTATTTATTGGAAGAAAAGCAGTTCTGGGAAATTATTTTTGGCTTAGATTCCAAGATTTTTTGTCTTTGTTAAGTCAAAGTTTTAGTGTTTGATGCCTGGCACCACAAATATGTAGGGGCAGTTGAGGTTACTTATCGTGTCGGGGATTTTAATGGACATGAAATTTCATTCTTGGTGGAGAAATTGGAAAGGATTGCGGGGATTTATGGCGCCAAAAAGTGAAAATTGATTTTGCAATTGGTTGATCTTGAAACGAGGGTGAAATTGAAGTCATATCTTCTATGTAAAATTCGGGTTTGTAAGGGTTTGTTACCTAATTAGAATCCTACTGATCCTTGATCTCTGACGAGGTCTATAGCTGGCAGCAGTACTCAAAGAGAAGGATCTGAAGAGCATGATCATCGGTTCTGTTTTCGTGTTCTGTACGTCCAGTGGCAGCAGCAGCATCCGCAGCACTCACCGCAGACCAGCAGCAGCAGTATCCGCAGCACTCACCGCAGACCAGCAGCAGCAGCAGCATCAGCAGCACTCACCGCAGACCAGCAGCAGCAGCAGTAGCAGTAGCAGCATCCGCAGCACTCACCGCAGACCAGCAGCAGCATGAGCATGAGCAGCACTCACTGCACACAAGCAGCAGCAGCAGCAGCATTTATAGCAGCAGCACAAGCATGAGCAGTAGCAGCATCCGCATCACTCACCGCAGACCAGCAGCAGCATGAGCATGAGCAGCAGCAGCGCAGCAGGCACGGCAGCTGCAAGGATGGTCGGTAGAGAAGGGGAGGTGGGGTAGAAGGCCCCAAGGTGACTCATATGGAGGGGGTTGCTTGCCCCCCACGGTCCCCAGCCCACGTCGTTCAGGGCCCGGGCCCGCAACACGTACACCCCCACCGGGTCCAGACCAGACACCGCCCAATGGTTCGCTGGTTGGCAGGAAGAATAAATAAAACAATTTAGATTAGTATTCTACAGAGTGATATACAAAGAAAATAAAAATTTTATGTAAATAAAAAGCCAAATTGATATAAAGTACGTAACTATAGCGTGTGAGTTGAGCTTACCAGACCCGTTGTAGAGCGAGGTGAAGTTCTCAGACGACTCGTCTGTGGGCAGCGGCGCCGCCTGCAGTTCGTATACGAGGACGGGTGACCCGTGGTCCCGCGCTGGGGCCCACCACGCCTGCCAGGTGTGCTCGGGGGAACCCACCTGCTGCAGGCGCACCTCTCCTGGTGCGCTGGGCGCGGCATCTGCTCAACAAATCAAGCAGCCTAAGAACTGCTGCTTATATACTGGGCGTGACTGAGGTGCCAACGAGGATTTACACGACAGTTGCCAAGTAGGAATTACAAGGTAAATATGAAGTATGAATAACTAGGCTGGCACCAACTAGGACTACCTAGAAAGGCAGCTTACAGGGTTTGTAGGTCACCATCACCTACCTAGAGTGGAGAAGTTGAATGGGGGATCCCCCAGCCATGTGAAGGTGTGCAGGGTGGTGTTGTAGGTCACCCGCACCCTGAACAACTGGGAGGATCCAGGGGGGAGGCCCCCCACGCGGTGGGTGAACGTGTGGCTGGGGGAGGTTTGCTCCAGAGTGCGTGTAGACCACCCATCTGCAGCAGTGGGGTCTGCCCCTGGGAGGAGGTGGTCCACCTGCAGTAGAAGGTGCAGTTAAAGAAATTGTCGTTCTAGCCTTTAGCAAAACAGAATTGAACATCTTTTTTTCCGTTGCGAAACTCTGAAAATTTTCCCTATTCTCTCCCAGATAATTTCCCATACTTCAGCCCACTCAGACCACCCACCGCATGTCTGAGCACACTCATGTCAGCGGGCGCCGTCCAGCTGACTGTCAGCGAGTGGGCGCTGGCGTTGACCAGATGGAGGGGGGGCAGCGGGGGCAGCGTCAGCCCCTCCACCGCGGGGGAGTCAGCGAACACAGACGAGTCCTGAGCTGACATCAGCCGCACCCACACCTGGGGGAGGGGGGAGTGGAGGGAAGGTTGCATGATCCTTGACAAGAGATCCACATGTAAGGTGGCACAGAATTTACAGTTCAGAGTACCAGGATTGTAGTATTGAGGTGCAGGTTCGAACACAGCTTCCGCGACAGTTTCTGATCAAAATCGACGAGAAGGCCTGGGCGGTTGAGCACAGCCAAATTGATGCAGTGATTTGCATGTTCGAGACCGCAACAAGCCGTGAATGTTCTGCGGCGTTAGCAATAGGCGACAGGCCTACGACGTAATCAAAACTGACACCGCTATTATTATTACTAGACAAGACATCCACAGGCCTATACAAGAGATCCTTTGCGATAAGGTCCATCCCCGTGAATCAAGGCCAAGGACATACCATAAGGACGCGACATGCCATAAGGACGCTGTAAGGATGAAGGATACACGACCTTAACAAGGCAGTTCTGAGCCTGCGCTTAGTCTCCTTGGTATCCTTGATCGTGTACATGAGCACATGTAATCTGCAGCACTGATTGATGTGAGGCAGACGAGCGCGCCTCAGCAGGCGAGCCTCATATCCTCGCCTGTACCATATCGCGCCATATGAATATTACCATAACCTGCTAATTAGATGAGCTTATCACTTAAGGAGTATTCCTGTAATGTAAAGGTTTTGATATATATTGGTGCAGGTGAAGCCGTTGTGCTCAAGTTTGGATAGATAATAGCATTTAATTGTGTGATCGGGCAACGTGGGTTATGCTAGGTCAGAGTGCAACTCAAACCTATTGCGTCCAGTGGTGCTGGTCTGTTGGAAACATTTTTTGGTGTGACTTTGAATGTGCGGGTAATGCTGTCATCACCTAGTTACTCATTGTGATGTAATTTTATTGCGTATCATTATGATTTATAATAATTATTTATCATTGTTATTTATTTTCACATGGGAAAAGGATCAATAGCTGCTTTCACCCTTCACTCCAACCCTCTCTTATGGCCCTCTCACCCTTCACTCCAGTCCCCTCTCATGGCCCTCTCACCCCTCAATCCAGTCCCCTCTCATGGCCCCTTTACCCCTCACTCCAGTCCCCTCTCATGGCCCTTTTACCTCTCACTCCAACCCCCTCTAATGGCCCTTTCACTCCCTGCACTCTCAACCCCTCACTCACGCTGTACTTGGTGTCGCCTTGCAGTCCCGTGACGCGGTCTGTCACTCGCACACTGGCAGAACTACTGGCCGAGGTTTCTGCAACAGTTCCGTCAGCAGGTCTGTCAGCGTCAGGTCTGTCAACGTCAGGTCTGCCAGCAGGTCTGTCAACGCTGTCGACGACGTGGCTGGATTGCCAGAAAATCCTGTAAGGCAGACCGGCCTCTGCCACGAACGTAACGGCCAGAGTTTCGGGGTCCAACCCCGTCACCCCGATGACGCGGGGGGTTGGGGGCACTGCAGGGGAAAGAGGGGTTAAAACGGGGTAATTTCTTTACCCTGAACAGGTGATGATGTCACCGGAAGTTCGCCGCAACTCTTACGTATTGTGGTAGGCTCGAGTTCTACGGCCAAACTCCGGAACTATTTTGTTAAAAGACTTATCTGAACTAACGTTGTTATTGTTGTTAAATCTATGTTAGTGTATTTTAGTTACTAGATGCATTGAGATAAAATATAGATTTTTGGGGGAAAGAACAGTTTAAAAGAAGTACGTTTAAAATACCAAAAGCAGCGTAACGAGCAGATTCGTGACCAATAGCATGATGAAGTTGTTGGAGCACAGCTACAAGATCTAGTGTTAGGGCACAAGATCATTAGTGAATACAGCGGAGTGAGCTGAGGTAGAACCTCACCGTAAGGCTGCCAGGGCACGACTGATTCCCTGACTCACAGCCACTCTGACGTCACCATACGTCACTGATAACTGTAGTGATGTCGCACTGTAATGTTACTGAGACAGCCACGCCAGACGCGTCTGTACAATTACACTTGATGCAACTAAAAATTCACATGAAAGAAATAAATAGTGGTTTTAAAAATAGTGAATGATCACCATAGTTAACAATGGGCACCCACCTGCCGCGCGGGTAGTGAAGGTGGTGATGTTGCTGATGGTTGACAAGTGGTGGTGGCGGGTGGTGGTCTCCACCTGCACAGCGTAGGTGGTGAAGGCACGCAGACCACCTATTGTCACCACGTGGCCGTCGGCCACCTGCAGAAGGAGGGCGGAGACAAGACCTTATTACCTATACCAAATTACCACGTATAATTTAGGTTAAGATATTACCCTCAGCTAACTGTTAAGATACTACCCTCTAAAATTGAGTTGAAATAGTGACACATATTGTCTAAATAGTGACACACTACCTGCACGTAGCACTGATACGCAATTTTTGACGCCAAACTGGGTCACAATGACCTAGACAAAGGCAGAGCGTACATATATAGCTACCAGGACAAAGTTTCCTTTGTTTCTCTGAGTGCAGGAAGCAGAGGCGCGTAGACGGCGGGCAGACGGTATATTTTACAGGGATGTTGTGTTGTGATATTTTACAGGGATATTGTGTTGTGATATTTTACAGGGATATTGTGTTGTGATATTTTATAGGGATTTTGTACCGCAATATTTTACAATTATATCGCATTGTTATATTGGTTAAATATGATATGAGCCTCAATGGAGGAGATTAGGCAGTCATCATATATACATATATTCTGTTAATAATATATATTCTGTCAATAATTTATACCCTGCTAATATAAGGCTTCGTATATATACAGGGGTTGGACAAAATAAGGGAAACACCTGACATTTTGATATCGTAATTTTTGATCATTTTATAAGCAATGAAAACGTGACATCTTTTATGTTTTATTGTTTATTGTCCTGCTAATTGATATTTATCCTTGCACAGACATTTTTAGTGAATTTTTGTGTTTATGACCTAACTTATAAATGGCATATCTCTCTGACTTTCATAGAGGCCAAATTGTTGGTACCCGTATGGGAGGTTCTTGTGTGACAAAAACTTCCCGAATGCTTGACGTTTCTAGAGGTACTGTCTCAAAAGTAATGACTGCTTAGAGGTAATGTCTCAAAAGTAATGACTGCTTAGAGGTACTGTCTCAAAAGTAATGACTGCTTAGAGGTACTGTCTCAAAAGTAATGACTGCTTAGAGGTACTGTCTCAGAAGTAATGACTGCTTGAGGTACTGTCTCAAAAGTAATGACTGCTTGAGGTACTGTCTCAGAAGTAATGACTGTTTAGAGGTACTGTCTCAAAGGTAATGACTGCTTAGAAAAAGTGTCTCATAAGTAATGACTGCTTAGAGGTACTGTCTCAAAAGTAATGACTGCTTAAAGGTACTGTCTCAAAAGTAATGTCTGCTTAGAGGTGCTGCCTCAAAAGAAATGACTGCTTAGAGGTACTGTCTCATAGGTAATGACTGCTTAGAAAAAGTGTCTCATAAGTAATGACTGCTTAGAGGTACTGTCTCACAAGTAATGACAGCTTAGAGGTACTGTCTCAGTAATGACTGCTTAGAGGTACTGTCTCAGAAATAATGACTGCTTAGAGGTGTTGTCTCAAAAGTAATGACTGCTTAGAGGTACTGTCTCAAAAGTAATGACTGCTTAGAGGTAGCTGTCCCACAAGTAATGACTGCTTAGAGGTACTGTCTCACAAGTAATGACAGCTTAGAGGTACTGTCTCACAAGTAATGACTGCTTAGAGGCTGTCTCTTATACACATCTAGATGTGTATAAGAGACAGGAAGTAATGACTGCTTAGAGGTACTGTCTCAAAAGTAATGACTGCTTAGAGGTACTGTCTCGTAAGTAATGACTGTTTTGAAAGAGAAGGAAAAACGTCCTCAGCAAAGCACAGGTCTGGCCGAAAGTTGAATTTGTTTTCGAGAGACCGTCGGTACAGAAACCGAACTGTGATGGACAATCGAAAGACCAAAGCTGTTGAAATTACTGTGGTCCTCAATGGACACCTACAGAACCCAGTTTCCATAACAACTGTCCGCCGAGAGCTGCACAGATCTGGATTCTATGGAAGAGCTGTGATTAGAAAAGCTTTGGTTTTATATACATATGATTCAAAGTGTTCTGAGTGGTGGCAAAACCTTCAGAATTGGTCCCTCTAGCAGTGGAAAAATTTTATTTTCTCTGACGCGGTTTTAAATATTTACAAACGCTTGCAGAATGTACGTTGGGACAGGGTTAAAAAAGGCCGAAAGAGGGTTAAACTGGGGTCTAACTGACAGAGGGTGAAAGAGGGTTGAATTGAAAAATATTTTAAAATTTTTTGGAAATATTTCAAAATTTGTAAAAATTAATACCTCTTGGAATTGAGGCCGTAGTTGCCGCAACAGCTGGACCTACATTATATATACTAAATTATATATACATTTATATACAACATACAGAATATACAACATATATATACGACAGGTGTACATACACTACATATACTAAAATATACCTAGCGTATTCATAAGGTGTATCCTTTATTTTGTCCAACCACTGTATATTTCACTAAAAAGTCTAGATATGTTGTCAAACCAATGTCTGTATATACACCTGTATATCTACACCCGTATATATGCAACAACAATATTTGTTTAAAAATCGCGCTAATATCTGATTATAAACAATACTAATACTGAATATACACCTCAATAATAATCATGTATATACCACACATACCTCACTAATGCCTGTATACATACCTCAATGTATATACCACACAAATAACCCAATTGTTAAATTTAAAAATCCCCTTTAAAGTCCCTTTTCAAGATTGCTATAAAATTTTTATTAAATAAAAATCACATTTTTAAATGAATCCAATTAATTTTTCAATCTCCCCCTCCCCCTCAGGAGTCCCCCAGAGTCACCCCTCGAGAGGAGTCTAGAATCACCCCTGAGGATCGCCTCCCAGAATCACCTTCTCAACCAAAGGCAAAAGAGAAAAAAGAACAAGAGTCTGTAGAGTCTAAAGAATCTTTGAAGAAACGCAAGGAATCTAAGAAAAATACCGGTAAGAAAACAGAAGTTGACCTGAAAGAATATTCGAAAGAATCACCCGAAGAATCAGTCAAAAAGTCACCCAAGGAATCTCCTAAAGAATCACCCGAAGAATCACCTAAAGAATCACCCAAAGAATCGCCTAAAGAATCACCCAAGGAATCACCCAAGGAATCACCTAAAGAATCACCTAAAGAATCACCTAAAGAATCACCCAAGGAATCTCCTAAAGAATCACCCAAGGAATCTCCTAAAGAATCACCCAAAGAATCACCTAAAGAATCACCCAAAGAATCACCCAAAGAATCACCTAAAGAATCACCGAAGCGTCCGGAGCCCCCAACATCTGGAATGTCTGAACCTCAGAGTAAGTCTAAACATACCTTAATTAACTAGTTAGTTAAGTAACAGGTAAATTAAGTAACAAACGTTACTTAATTAACTAGTTAGTTAAGTAACAGGTAAATTAAGTAACAAACGTTACTTAATTAACTAGTTAGTGAAGTAACTTAGGTAGCTGGTAACAAACGTAACTTAATTAACTAGTTAGTAAAGTGGCTAAGGTAGCTGGTAACAAATGTGACCTAATTAACTAACAAATACTAGTGAAGTAAGTAACTATCTTAAATAGCTGCTGTTCGTTAAGTAACTAGCCTAGTATCTTCAATAATTAAAACTTGCATTTCGAGATTATAAAATCTTTCAAATTTTATATTAAGTGGTGATAAATTTTTTACATAATTAGGGCATGTCACAGAATATTATATAATATAGCAAATATAGCAAAATAAATATAATATAATATAGCATAATATTTGCTGTGCTGGATCGGGTGATTAAATTAGACGATTTCGCTGAGAAATGTTAATAAAAATTTAAAATTGAAAATGGAAAAAATTAGATTCTGAATACTAGTAATTTGATGAATGAATGTTAAAACAATTAAGATAATTAAAAATTATTTAGTACGTATAGTGATACACGATATTGAGTTGAATGAAGTCAAAGGGTTGAGTCAACAGGTTGAGAGGTTTTGCTAAACAAATTAAGGGTTTGAAAGCAAAATAATGGACAGCCATGATATAAATAACTCATGTTCTATTAAATATTATATTGAAGTTGAAGAAATATTATATTGAAGAATATTAAATATTATATTGTACGTTATTCAAACATTGCTATTTTCTATAGTATAATAATATCCCGGAAATGTGAAGATTTAGTATATGAACTATATAGTTTCGGTTCTATATCATTCATATACGTGGCATGTCATATACCGGGTATATGTATATGATATATACGTGATATATCTTATATGATATACCACACGTTAATATACATATACCACGTAGACGATAAACCGCGTATATGAATATAACTTTAAGCGGGATATAATACAAAAATAAGTTTAAGTTGATTAAATTTTATAGCGACTTAAATTCGTTATAATTTTCAAATAATCTCAAATGATTAGAAAAAACTTTATTAATTCAATTTATTCACATCTGAATATCTTCTGAACAATTCAGCATTTAAACATGATCTAGATATGAATTAATTATATATCTTAATTAAATGCTAATACAAATTCTTAAACAAAAGTTTTTCTTATAAAATACCTAGCTCTCCCGAGTTATGCTTAAACCTTTCCTTGCTTTATAATAACTAATGAATTATTCATATATTCATCATCTTTCATTCATAAATTCAGGCGTTAAGGAGAGCGTCTCGGTCAAAAATCTAAAATTTTGGCTTTTCCGTTTTCGTCTCGGTCAAAAATCGAAAATTTTGGCTTTTCCGTTTTCGTCTCGGTCAAAAATAGAAAATTTTGGCTTTTCCGTTTTCGTCTCGGTCAAAAATAAAAAATTTTGGCTTTTCCGTTTTCGTCTCGGTCAAAAATCNCCGAACGATAATGAACAACGAGAACATTGTGTGCGCGACGTTAACTTCCTAGCGGTGTTGCCAAGGTAAAGGTAAATTACAATTTTATTACAAATAAAACTCGCAAAATGTCTAGCACTACAGGGTTTCAGAATTGTGCGCCGTGCGGAGCTTTACGTGTTAATACAAAAGTAACAAAAACAAGTTTCATTCAAAGGTTAGTAACATATTAATACTGTCGATTGCTCACGATTATATATAATACCATTCACATTTTACCATATGGTGGCAGTGTATGGACCTTAAGTTTTTCAAGTTGAAATGATATATCCTAAACGTAACTAAACATGTGCTTGTTTGCAATAGCACAAATTTTTATTAGTTTCAATAAACGTTCACTACGCTCGTTTCATAACCTTTGTGCAGCTAGGGCTCAACATTAAATTTAATGACTTGAAAGAGCATTTTATATCCCTGCTTGCGGATACATGGACCGATTCACCAGAGCAGCGCATCAACATCGGGATCAAACAACCGTCATCAATAAATATATCAATTTAACTTCGCCTTCCTCTCTCTATATAGTGGGTCAATCTGGGTAGACCCTGTCTCTTATACACATCTAGATGTGTATAAGAGACAGCACTTTCACTCATCGGATTTCCATTAACAAACTAATTTATTAATCAATTTTTACACAGAAAGTTTTTCCGAAAAAAATTTCTAAAATTATTCATGTTCTCAATATTTGCATTGAAATTCAGTGAAATTAATTTTTTTAGATAAATATGCTTTTTATTTTTTATAATACATATTTTTCTAACTAATTCGTTAATTTTCACCATAACAAATGTCTATCATCCACACTTATATAGCACCTTCATATTTATCACCCACATGTTTCTATCCCACTCTAATATTTGTATGAACCACTCAATATCCGTTTACATCCCACTCTAATATTTGTATGAACCACTCAATATCCGTTTAATCCCACTCTAATATTTGTATGAACCACTCAATATCCGTTTACATCCCACTCTAATATTTGTATGAACCACTCAATATCCGTTTACATCCCACTCTAATATTTGTATGAACCACTCAAGATCCGCTTACATCCCACTCTAATATTTGTATGAACCACACAATGTCCGTTTACATACCACACAAACGTCTGTATATATACAGCAGTATGACCTGTATATACTGGGCTTGAACAAAATAAGGGAGCACCTTACATTTTGAGATAATATTTTTTGAATATGTTAATAACAATGAAAACATGACATATTCTCATGTTTTATTGTTAATTGTTGCTGCTAAATGAAATTTCAAGCCCTCGTAGCTATTTTAAAATTTTTTTTTACTATAACCTTATGAAAATAAGCTCTCTGACTTTCAACGAAGGTTCTAGTGTGACAGAAACTTCCTAAATGCTGGAAGTTTCTAAAGGTACTGTCTCAAAAGTAATGACTTCTTAGATGTATTGTCTCATAAGCAACGACTGCTTAGAGGTACTGCCACATAAGGTTCTAGTGTGACAGAAACTTCCTAAATGCTGGAAGTTTCTAAAGGTACTGTCTCAAAAGTAATGACTGCTTAGATGTATTGTCTCATAAGCAACGACTGCTTAGAGGTACTGCCTCAAAAGTAATGAATGCTTAGAGGTACTGTCTTAAAAGTAAGACTGCTTAGAGGTACTGTCTTAAAAGTAAGACTGCTTAGAGGTACTCTTTCAGAAGTAATGACTGCTTAGAGGTAATGTCTTAAAAGTAAGACTGCTTAGAGGTACTGTTTGAGAAGTAATGACTGCTTAGAGGTACTGTCTCACAAGTAATGACTGCTTAGTGGTACTGTCTCAAAAGTAATGACTGCTTAGAGGTACTGTCTCATAAGTAATGACTGCTTAGAGGTACTGTCTCATAAGTAATGACAGCTTAGAGGTACTGTCTCATAAGTAAGGACTGCTTAGAGGTACTGTCTCATGAGTAATGACTGCTTAGAGGTACTACCTCAAAAGTAATGTCTGCTTAGAGGTACTGCCTCAAAAGTAATGTCTGCTTAGAGGTACTGTCTCATGAGTAATGACTGCTTAGAGGTACTGTCTCATGAGTAATGACTGCTTAGAGGTACTGCCTCAAAAGTAATGTCTGCTTAGAGGTACTGTCTCACAAGTAATGACTGCTTAGAGGATGTCTCAAAAGTAATGACTGCTTAGAGGTACTGTCTTAAAAGTAAGACTGCTTAGAGGTACTGTCTTAAAAGTAATGACTGCTTAGAGGTACTGTCTTAAAAGTAATGACTGCTTAGAGGTACTGTCTTAAAATCTTATTTTGCTTGGCTCGGCTCGCCCTTATTTTGCTCGGCTCGCCAAGCAAAAGAATTTAGACTCACCACGACTTTTAGAATTTAGACTTGGACTCTTCTAAATTCTTAGACTCTCTAGAATTTAGACTCACCACGTTTAGAATAATTGAAGGTGAGCAGAGTTAGACTCGCGAGTCGGACTCTATGGTGTACGGGGCCCTTAAGAGTTCACTCATATAAATGAAGGGGTCATATATTGTCCCAATATTGACTCAGTTTCTCGCTCTTGGCACGAGCAGAGAGCGGTCGTAGCACTGATACGCCCCACGCTAAACAGGGCCACGATGACCCACACACAAGCGAATAGTGCTTCGTTATTAGGACATTTAATAGGACGCACATTTTTCTGAGTGTACTTTTCCGTGCCCTGGCGTGAAATATTTTCACAAATTTTTACGTTCCTTTTTAATTAAAAATCAATTAAATCATTTAATTATTTATTTAATTAATTAATTAAATTAATTACTTATTTTAACGGCTGCGCAGTTTTAGTGATGAGAATCTGCTTCGCACTCAAAGAATAACGTAGAACTTGGGATAAATTGTGATGTAAGTTTAGCTCTTAGTGAGTCATCCAACCTCACTTTTGAATTAATTATTTAATTAAAAAAGGCATATAAGTAAAAAGGCGTATCAGTGCTACGAGCGGAAGGTCTGTCATAATTTGGACAATATTACCTAGTAATTTTTGTGTGCGCAATATAGCGCATTCGTTAAAGCTAAAAGTAATTGTTATTAATTATTGTTCATTATTCATTATTATTATAAAAAAAATTGTTCATAATTATTATTCATTATTCACATTCCTTCCGTGTTCATCATTCCGTTTTTTCCGTTAAAGTTTTTGTGGAATTTTTGTCCAAGTTCTCCGTGTGTTTTAAATTTTTTCTTAAATTGAAAATAATCTAAAATAATCTATAATAATAGAAAATAACCAACTGATCAATTGTAATTTATTAAAACTATATATATCGGAGGGACAAAACTATATATATTGGAGGTTTAAATCTATATATATTGGAGGTACAAAACTATATATATATTGGAGGTATAAAACTATATATATTGGAGGTACAAAACTATATATATTGGAGGTACAAACCTATATATATTGGAGGCACAAAACTATATATATTGGAGGTACAAAACTATATATATTGGAGGCACAAAACTATATATATTGGAGGTACAAAACTATATATATTTTTGGGATCAGGTGACGAAATTTTTATGTATATGAAAATCTTTATAATATATTGTTGATATTTACATTATTACAGTTACATGCATAAATATACTTATAAAAAATTATTATTAATTCTATTATATAGGTTTATTAAATTCAAGGAGTAAACTGAACTGAAATGAACAAAAATTTAGAAAAAATAATTAATAATATTTTCGAATTTATATATAGGCCGCTTTCAGTTAATATATATAGGCCATTTCTAGTTACTATCACCTATTCAAACATGTGTAATATTTATTTTCAGTTTTCATTGAGTGATAATCACTTTAATGCTATATTTTTAAATTTATAACTAACTACACTAATGCTATCGCTATATGTTTGTTAAAATATTACATAATAATAATAATAATAACAATAATAATATTAATAATAATATGACGACACTGACACTAACGCTATATATTTATCAAAATATTTCAATAAATATAGCTTATTCAACGCTTAATTTACTAAACCAACACAACTGAACATTTTATTCAATTATCCAGAAATAATCCAGCACACACAATGTGTTGTACAATGTGGTGTGTAGTTTGTTCAAATCTATACAGGGGATCCTAGTCGCGTGTATATTAGAGCTGCGGTGTATATACAGTATACATGTATATACAGTATACAAGTGTATATACATGTATACTGTATATACTGTATATACACACATGTATATACAGTATACATGTGTAACATATCGTTCGTTATCGATGATGGTCAAAATCGTGTTGGTCAAATATTTATCCTGTTATGAATCGTTGAATAACGATTATCGTTTTATAAAAAGGCCTAATAGATGTTTAATCTATTCAAATTCATAACAAAATTGATGTTTAGTCTATGCAAAATGTGAGCAAATTGTTTTAATTTATTTTAAATTAAAAATAGATTAAACATCGATTTAATCTATGCAAAATGTGAGCTAATTTTTTTAATTTATGATTACGAACAAAAACCTAAGTAATTTGAGTCGTCGAGGCATTTAAAAATATATAAATTAAGTGACACCTTTAGATAAAAATTTAGGATTTCGAAAATTGGTAAAATGAAAGGAAAATTAAATGAAAAAATTGGTAAAATGAAAATTTCTAAGCCAAATGTGAAGGAGTTTGATTTTAAATTTGTATGTTATTTCTACTCACGTACGATGACAGCTACGAGAATGGCGACAGAAAAGAGAAGAGGAAGAAGAAGAAGAGAGGAAAGTAGAAGAAGAGGAAGAGCGATTGAAGAGGGAAAAAGAGAAGAAACGCCGGGAGAAAGAAGAAGAGTGTCGGAAGAAGGAAGAAGAAGAAGAAGAGAGAGTTAGAAAAGAGGAACAAGAGCGAGTGAAAAAAGAAGAAGAGGAGAGGGTGAGAAAGGAAGAAGAAGAGAGGGTGAGAAAGGAAGAAGAGGAGAGGGTGAGAAAGGAAGAAGAGGAGAGGGTGAAAAAGGAAGAAGAGGAAAGGGTGAGAAAGGAAGAAGAGGAAAGGGTGAGAAAGGAAGAAGAGGAGAGGGTGAAAAAGGAAGAAGAGGAGAGGGTGAGAAAGGAAGAAGAAGAAAGGGCGAGAAAGGAAGAAGAGGAGAGGGTGAGAAAGGAAGAAGAGGAAAGGGTGAGAAAGGAAGAAGAGGAGAGGGTGAGAAAGGAAGATGAGGAGAGGGTGAGAAAGGAAGAAGAAGAGAGGGTGAGAAAGGAAGAAGAGGAAATGGCGAGAAAGGAAGAGAAGGAAAGGGTGAGAAAGGAAGAAGAGGAGAGGGTGAGAAGGGAAGAAGAGGAGAATGTGAGAAAGGAAGAAGAGGAGAAAGAAAAGAAGAAGATCGAGAAAATGAAGAGAAAGCAAGAACAGGAGAAGATGTTGGCGGAAGAAGAAGCGAAAATGCACGAAGATGAAGAGCGGAGAAAGAAAGAAAAAGAGAAGCTGAAGCAAATGGAGGAAGAGATGAAGAGGCAAGAGGAAGAAGAGCGCCTGAGAAAGATGGAAGAGAGAGAGAAGGTGAGAATACAGGATGAGGTGAGGAGAAAAGAAGAAGAGATCATAAAGCTGGAAGAGAAGAAGAAAAAAGAAGAAGAGAGGAAGAAGGAAGAGGCCGAGAGAATGACTAGTGAGCAAGAGAAAAAGAAAAAAGAAGAGGAGAAGCAAAAGATTGAATTAATGAAGCGAAGGCGGCAAGAAGAAGAGCAAAGATTGAAAGAAGAAGAGAGAATAAAGCATTTGGAAGAGAAACAGCGGCTCTTGAGAGAAGAGGAGAAAAGAAGAGCTTTAGATGAAGAAAGAGAAGAAGAAGAAAGAAAGAAGAAGAGAGAAGAAGAGCGAGTGAAGAAAGAAATGGAAAGAAAGTCGCTGGAAGAAGAAGAGGAGAGAAAATTCAATGAGGAGAAAGCCAGAAGAGATGAAGAGAAGCTGCGTAAGCGTAAAGAAGAAGAAGAGAGAATGGAAGAAGAGGCGAGAAAAATTGAAGAAATGAAAATTAAATTCAAATTAGATAAAGCCCGGAAAGAAGAAGAGCAAAGAAAGTGTGATGAAGAGAAGCGCAATAAAGAGGAAGAAGAGAAGAAGATGGCCGAAGAAAAGCGCAGGAAGAAAGAAGAAGAAAAGATGAAGAAAGTAGAAGATCGATTGGATAACGAAACGAAGAGAAAGGAAGAAGAGCGAAAGAAAGAGGAAGAAATGCGAATGCTTCTCGAAGAAGAGAAAAATGAGAAGGAGAGAGAGCGAGTGCGGCAAGAGATGCTAAAGAGGAAGAAGGAAGAAGAAGAGCAAAGAATGAAAGAAGAAGAGAGATTGAAGCACTTGGAAGAGAAATTGCGGTTTATGAAAGAGGAGCAGCAACGGAGGATGAACCAAGAGCAGAAAGAAGAAGAGGAGAGGAGAAAGAAGAGAGAGCAAGAACGGCTGGAGAAGGAAATGAAGCGAAAGAAAATCGAGGAAGAAGAAGAGCAGAAGCTCATTGAAGAGCGAAGAAAAAGAGAAGAAGAGAAAAGGAAGAGAAGGCTGGAAATGGAAGCAAAGTTTGAAGAAGAGAGTAAGAAACTTGAAGAGACTCAAAGAAAACTTGAGATAGAAAAACGAAAGAAAGAAGAGGAGCAGCTAAAATTGAATGAAGAGAAGCGAATAAAGGAACAAGAAGAAATGAAGAGAGCTGAAGAGAAGCGTAAGAAGAAGGAAGAAGAGAAAGCCAGGAGGGAGAATGAGCAGCTGGAAGAACTTAAGAAAGAAGCTGAGAGAATAAAAATGGAGAAAGAAGCGCTGAAAAGAGAAGAGAAAGAGAGACTGAAGAGCGAAGAGCTTCTTCTCTTGAAGAGAGAAGAAGAAAGGAAGCAGAAAGAGAAAGAAAGAAAAATTCAAGAGGAAGAAAATAAAAGGAAAGATGAAGAGAGAATCGAGAGAAGGAGGAGAGAAGAAGAAAGAGTGAGGAGGGAAGAAGAGGAAAGAAAGAAAATAGAAGAAGAATTTGCTCTGAAAAAAGAAAAAGAAAAAATTCGCAAAGACTTGGAGAGGAAAAGGCTGGAAACAGAGCGCGAAAAGAAAGAAGAAGAAAGATTAGAAAAGAAGAAGAGGGAGGAAGAGGAGCGAAAAAAGAAAGAACAAGAGAAGAGAAAAAGGGAAGAGGAGAGGATACAGGCGGAGAAACTAGCTGAGGAGAAAATGGAAGAGGTAAGGAAGAAAGAGAAAGAAGCCTTGGAGAGAAAGAAGAGAGAATTGGAGGAGAAGAATAAACAGGAAGAGGAAAGGTTGAAGAGAATGGAAGAAGAGAGACGGAAGAAAGAGCAAGAAGAGTGGCAGAGGCTTGAACGCGAGATGAAAGAAAGAGAGAACATGAAACACCGAATGAAAGAAGAAGAGCTGAAAAAGAAAGAGTTGGAACGAAGACGGAAAGAAGAAGAGAGAAGAGCAAAAGAAGAAGAGAAGCTCGACAACCTCCGTAAACAAGAAGAGCTTCGAAAGAGAGAAGAGTTGGAGAAGCTGGAAAGCTCGATTAAAAAGGAAAAAGAAGAGCGTCTGGAAAAAGAGAAAATGAAAGTTACTGAAGCGCAAAAGAAGAGGAAAGCCACCAAGGAGAAGGAAGAAGAAGAAGAAGAAGAAAAAAAGAGGCTCTTCAGTGAACGAAAAGAAGAGCGCATGGACTTACAATTATCGGTAATTGAAAAAAAAGAATGAATTGTTTGATTATTAATTATTTATTAATATAATAGGGGATAACCAATTAGGAGCATAAAAAAATGAATTATTTGTTTGATTATTAATTATTTATTAATATAATAGCGGGATAACCAATTAGCAGCATAAAAAAAGAATGAATTGTTTGATTATTAATTATTTATTAATATAATAGGGGATTACCAATTAGGAGCATAAAAAAATGAATTAGTTGTTTGATTATTAATTATTGATTAATATAATAGGGTATAAATTAGGGTAAATTGTCAATTTGTACAAATATGTATAAATTATTTTTTTAAAATTAAATTATAATTAGTATAAATTATTCTCTTGCTGTGCTGGATCGGGTGATTAAATTAGACGATTTCGCTCAGAAATGTTAATAAAAATTTAAAAATTGAAATTGGAAAAAATTAGATTCTGAATACTAGTAATTTGATGAAAGAATGTTTAAAAAATTAAGATGACTAAAAATTATTTAGTACGTAGCTATACAAAATATTGATTTGAATGCAGTCAAAGGGTTGAGTCAAAGGGTTGAGTCCAAGGGTTGAGTCAAAGGGTTGAGTCAAAGGGTTGAGTCAAGGGGTTGAGTCATCACAGGGTTGAGTCACAGGGTTGAGTCAAAGGGTTGAGTCAAAGGGTTGAGTCACAGGGTTGAGTCAAAGGGTTGAGTCACAGGGTTGAGTCAAAGGGTTGAGTCAAAGGGTTGAGTCAGGGGGTTGAGTCAAAGGGTTGAGTCACATGGTAGAGTCAAAGGGTTGAGTCAAAGGGTTAAGTCAAAGGGTTAAGTCAAAGAGTTGAGTCACAGGGTTGAGTCACAGGGTTGAGTCAAAGGGTTGAATCAAAGGGTTGAGTTAACAGTTTAAGGGTTTAAAAGAAAATTAATGAACCGGCCGAGAGATAAATTCTTCCTTTACTATTAAATATTTTATTGAAGTTTTAAAAATTTAAAATTTTTTTAAAAATTAAAAAAAATTAAATTTAAAAATTAATTTTTTAAATTTAAAAATTAAAAAAAATGAACTATCGGCATTGCTATGTATTCATACACTTCTAGCCTCAATTTTATTATTCATAGTTTTAACGTAGGGATTGGTAAACATTATTAAGCTTTATTATTTTATACAACATTTAAACATTGTTATTTTCTATATAATAATATGCCTGAAATATAAAGATTTGGTATATAAACAATATAGGTTTGGTTCTATACCAATCATGTACGTGGTATATCATATACCTGGTATTTGTATATGATATATACCTGGTATATGTATATGATATATACGTGGTATATGTATATGATATACCACACGTCATATACCTGGTATATGTATTCGATGACGGCGCACGTGTACCACAGCTACCGTCAGCCCAACAGTACCAACCGCTGTACCTGCGCCTCCCCGCGCCCCAGGTACCGGCGTCGCAAACGAAGGCGAAATCGAACAAATAATCACTACCTAAACACCACCCTTAGGTCCTATTGTATGTATTTCATCGCGCTACGACCACTAATTTGGAAGATTTTGTCAAGTTCACGGTAAATTTAACTATCGGCCGCAGAAATACCGGTCGCTTCACCTTCAGCCGAATAAATCGCAAATGAAATCTCCATTGAAAATGTTTGCGCGAACTAAACACCACCGGCAGGTAATTAGGAAAAATATTCACAGTTTTGTTCAAATTTGTACAGTAGGATAGAATATTATTATGCTCACTGCCCGTTTGTGATGGAAACGAAGGCAAAATAAAAAAAAATCGTTTGTATATATAGGGACTTAAGGAGATCGTTTCGGTCAAAAATAGATAATTTAGGCTTTTCCGTTTTTTGACGCATTTTGTAGCTGCTGAAAAGGCGCGTCTAGCGTAGCAAACCGCATGACTGTGCGTGCTCTAGTTTTTACGTAAAGCAATTTCAAAAACATATATATAACATGAACATTTTTCAACAATAGGTACAAAGATTTCTATGAATTAAATCTGTATTTATAGATCATTATTCTCGGTAATTGTAAAGTTATTGCACTCGTTTGAAAGCTACAAACAAGGCGCGGTCAAGACAGCAAATATTACGGTTGTACATGGATTAATTTTTGCGGAATGCAGTTTAAAACTTATATAAAATGAACATTTTTTATTTATATAAATATCACAAAAGTCGCATATATAGCTTATTATTCATGTTTGCAATGATTTAAATTATTAACTTAGATTATTTGAAGTTGATGTTTTGGCAACATCTCCCGAACCACAGAAAAGGCTTGCTTCCAGATTTTCTTTATTCGTTGTAACTTGGGCAGTCGACCGCTTGTACCTATGGTAAGCGCTTAGATTTTCTATTGAATAATAGAATGTGTACTTGATATTAATTGTTGTAAGAGTTGCGTTATAATTGTTTGATATCTTGTTACTAGTACTGTGTATTTAAGCATGTGATTATTTAATTGTAGGTATATAAGAAGTCTGGAGTACTTCCCTCCTCTGTCGCTTTGTTCCTGCTTCTAGCCTCCTTCAATAAAACTACGTCTGAACCGGATTCTGTTAACCTACAAGCACAAGAAATTGGTTGGCACTTAGTTATTGGTGGAACCTATAATGAAAGGAACCCGTTGACGTCATTACAACGTTAAACTGGACAAAAATAAGTTTAAAAAGACGCGTGCTGGTACCCTAAGTGCAACTAATTAGCAATGGGAAAGCTTGGGCTAAAATATCAAACAATTTTTTGGCATTTCCTACTTGTTATTACAACACTTCTCTTTAACTTCACTCCTTGTTTGTTTGTCTATCTGCTACAATTCTTATAATCCAAATTTAACACACTTCTACTTTTCCTATCGATCTGAAATTTTGCACACTTTCGTAACGTCAGACATAATGCATGAATAAATTGACAAATACATAATTTTGAAACTTTAATTTTTTATGAAAATAAAAATTTAAAAATCAATTTTCTTCAATATTTGAAAATAAAATTTGAAATTCATTGTGCATGTGTATCATCGGAAACACTGGATTCTTTGGAAGTGTTGTCTGTAAAAAGTAATTTTAAACGCATATCATTTCAATAAATTTTGCTTATTTGGCTCCTCTGAATAATTAAAATTTCCAAAATGCGCCATCTTTGAAATCTATTTCCTCCTATGATTTTCAAGCTACAGCAAAGAGAGATATACATACCATTCGTTTTGCAAAGAAAATTTCTAGAAACTATTCGATTAATTTTTTTTTATTTCGTTATAGTTTGGATTATATATTGGAAAAAGGAAAATTTGAAATTTTTGGAAAATTTTTGGAAAATCCCCCCTCTCTCCCAAACAAATTCGAAATTGAAAAAAAGTGATCGAAAAGATTTTAGATATGGTCTTTCAAAATCAAATGATATGTCTCTCGATGTCGCAGCATCTTTACTGAATAAGGAGATAGATTTCTATATAACCCCCTTTTATCGCCGTTGCTTATCAATTTCACGCTTTCTTTTCGAAAAATTCACACGAACAAAAGAATCATCGATATCTGTTTTACATATGTGTACCGAGTTTCAAAATGATCCGTCCGTAAATAAAAAAGTTTTTTTTTGACCGAAACGGTCCCCTTAAACATCACCTATAGGTCATAATGAATGCATATGCAGTTTCATCGAGCTGCCTTCATTAGTTTCTTCAGAGACATTTTATGTTCACTGAATCATGGAGACCGGCCGGAAGACCGGTCGGAAAAGTGTCCGAGAGGTTACAAATCCCAACATGGTGGAGAGACCCGATTTGCCAAAAATTGAATTTTAATGTTAGTCAGGGGTTAAATGAAATTCAAATAAATACTGGAGGATGAAAATTCGAAAACATTTGTGACATAGGTAGTGTTTTATCTTTCGTATTATTGTGTTATCACCGACAGATAATACATTTCCCCCGCGTCATGCACGTCATGCTCAAGTCAAGCACTTGCATGTTTCTTGGCTGCTGTCAAGCATGCGCGTTGCGGCTGAGTTGATAACATAGGCTATTCAAAGCACCAGTAGATACTGAAGGCTAAGTGCAGAAACAGTTTATGATTAATTAACAGAGCCACGATGAAATTATTAAAGTACCTTATGCTTATCCGGAATACAGATCTCTCACTGGATCTCTCTCATCACTTTCATTCGGATTTTATGAATTGCTTCAAGTCACTCTCAATTTCTCGATCCCTCTTTAGTATACAAGGTCATTACTTGCAAAATGTTCGAGATAATCACGCTACTTATCACTGACCAGCGTGGGAGTTCAACAGATGCAAACTAAACTGGCCAAGTGGGATGATTCTTTTTCTCTTATATAAGAACTGTCTTAATCTCCACAACACAACATAGTTACTTGGGCTGTTCTGTAATAAAGTTGTTCGGTCTTCAGAGTTTAGAACGTCGCTGTCACTTCAGCAGTGAACAAGAATGCCGTCTAAAAATTGTTATCTGAATACTGCATTCTTTTCATTGTGTGAACGAGGAACATCGTTCACTAATTTATTCAATGTGCGTTTTCTTGTGACGAAATTATTCTATTACGTCTGGCGAAGCCGCGCCAGTGACATGCGAGTCAGACCTATAGCAGTTGGAACTGTCTAGTACTAGGTCAGGTCTGAGTGTCTGTGCGTCAAGTAGTTAGTCGTGTCCCGCCAGCCCTTCAGTGAGGTTACCTGAACCTGCTCAGCTGTGTTAACTCTCAGCATTCTTTGCTTTAGCGCTGGAGTTGTGGCTGTGCCGTGAGGACTTAGTCTTGCCTGCTATCGTTCGCCTATGCGAATTACGGTAACCTGAACTACGTGCATTAATGCTGTGCAATAGGGAATCGAATTGAACGTTTTTCATAAGTTATTTTAGTCGGAATTTATGCTTGCCCTTTACCATGTTTTACTGATTTTAAACAAAGTGATTGAATAAACTATTTCAAGTGCTTTGTCGTGATTATATACCACAGCCACTGAACCGGCTTTAACTGACGATGACTAGGAGAGTTGAACGGCATTGTAGGTTAGATGAATGAGC